TGAACTACCTCAATGGGGCTGAATGACCGGCCCAGTTCCGCTATTCAACTGACTGACAAACATCATTGTTATTTATGTGTTATATATAATATTTATAGCGATTTTCAGCCTTAGTAAATTCGTTGCATTACCTAGCTATCTCGACATCTTTAACCAGACACCCTAGGTCCTTGTCCCAAGTTTCGCTTGACTGACCGAGGTATGTTTATGTACGTAAATACTGTAATCAACTGACCAAAAACTGGCTTTAGTAAATTCAGAGAATTTTTTCGGCGCTGGCTCTCCGGCTATAATAAATGATGGAGAAAGACTATATATTCGACCTAAATATTACTATGCAGTGCAGCAGTATATTATGTTATGATACTGCGCGGTACATCGCAAAAGTACTGCATACAGACAACAAGGAAAGCAAAGTGAAGTTTCTAAAATTGAACGTATGCCAGTTAAGATGGCCTGAAAAAGATGAATTGATGATCTCATTCATTTGATTTAGATCATAAAGATTTAAATAATATAAAAGAAAAACATAAAAGTTTGAAGAAATAGAGAATACCTATGTACTGCAATAACTTGCAATAGTTCACAATAATCACAATGGTTTTGCAATATCTAGAATCATTGGGCAATAGGTTGCAATAGTCCACAATACTCTCACAATACTCTGCAATACCTGAGTATTGTAAAATATATGTACAAAAAAACTTCAGTGAAATACTCGACATGTCACAAGCCTTTGACTGTATAAACCAGAGACTATTATTAGCAAACTTAAATATTATAATTTTTATTATGTATGAATGAACTTCTTTGATGAGAGAGATCAGAGGGTTAAGATCCAGGATGGCTTTTCAAAGCCATTACTTTAGGCGTAGCCCAGGGTTCTATCAGGGACCTCAACTATATGACTATACTCACTATAGTCAGGAGATGCGGCAAATGAGGCACTCAGTTGTGAAAAACACTCAGTACTCCCTCTCGTTTTATCTGGAGGACATGGATAATGCAGTGGCTCTAATAAACAAAAAAACAAAAACTTGGAGCGTTTTACTTCTTACCCCAAAAACTCCCTAAGAGTTAATTCATTAAAGACAAAAGCAATTTTATTTGGTGCAGGCACATACAGATCCCACAGTCAAAATCAAAGTTATGATAGTGAAAATACCCTGGGAGAAAGAGCTGGAAAACCCGGAGATTCCTACGGATCAAGGTTTGACATTTAGTCGCCGGGTTAGCAGCCTATCACAGAAATGTTACTAGTATTAAAGTGTCCTTATGAGTTCAAAAACTGTAGTTTGAAAATTTCCTAAGTGCGAAAGCTGAGAAACACTTTAACTTCTTTTTCTAACGCTTGATTTTTATAATATATTATTGGGGAGACTATTTCATAACTACGTGTAATCAGCCAGACCAATCGCACGGGCCAAACATCCCCCCAGACGCATTATTAATTTTTCCGTGAGTGTGAGCGCGAGGGTACTATGCATGCGTTTGAGAGTGAGCGAGATATATATGCCAACTGATTTTTGCTTCTTACTCTTACAGTCTACTCCAGGCTACAGTAGAAATGGGAAAAACCGGTATTTACAAATAACAGTTTCAAAAGTTACTGTTATTTTCAATTGGACGACTACCCAACTTAACGAGTATACATACGTTCATAGTACCTATACGTGCTATTCAATCTAGGGTTTCCATAAAGGTTTTTCGAAATTCAGGACAAAGGAGTCAAGAAATCCAGACTTCGTCAAAATAGCTGAAATCTGTTTTTTTTTTTTAAAGATAAAAGTCAAAATGACATTATGTTGGCAATACAATGAAAAATTGTCAATGCTTTCAAATTTTAGCTTTGTTTTGGTTCGGAAAAAGGAGTGTTCTAGAACCGTTCAAAACAACCGCACAGTTTATCTACTATCAACAAATTAACAACGGCTCGGCTATCAAAAATTCCAATAATAAACTGTGCGATTCTTTTGGACCGTTTTAGAACCGTCCTTCTTTCGAACCAAAACAAAGCTTTTGTATGTAGAAAAGGCTTGCGTTGCCAACATAGTTACTAAGTTTTTGACTTGGGGAATTATCTTAAAAAAAAAAACAGACTTTATTTATCACGTTTACTGCCGACCATATTTTTTGAGGCATTCTAGGACGACGTTGTTTTATTCGTTTTGTTTGGTATCCATGTTTAGCGACACAAAAAATAAAAAACGCGTAACCAACTTAAACAAGTGCTGGAGAAATGCATTTAGAAGGACGCCGGAGCGACTGCGATTCTCTCGCCAACGCCTACTGAATATAAACTCACAAATTGAGCATGCACAACACGTCGATCGGATTAGTTGGCGTCGCCGATAGGTGCCAGTAAACTCCGATCGGAGTGATCGGCAGTCAACATGTTATGCAACAAGGGTGTAAAGTGAAAGACTAGTGAGACAAAATTCACATTCGTGAAAAAGGTTTGCACTTTACACACGAATTACATATACAAAAAAATTTCACTACCAATAAAATATGTACAGGGTGGGCCAAATTGGACACTTTCTTATGGAAACACCCTTTATTTTTAGAGATCTCACTCTATATATTAATAGTTCATTAGAAAGCTATGCTTTCGCTGATTTTAATGATACAAGGTTTGATAGGTTTATCTCTAACAGTTTTCGAGAAAAAAATTATTTCGGTTTTTGTCATAAGAAACAATGTGTTGGAAAAGGACTTTATCTCTGTAAGGAAACTGAGAAAGGTCTCTTTCTTACACATTGTTTCTTATGACAAAAACCGAAATAATTTTTTTTCTCGAAAACTGTTGAAGATAAACCTATCAAACTTGTATCATTAAAATCAGCGAAAGCATAGCTTTCTAAAGATCTATTAATATATAGAGTGTCCTATTGAAAAAAATCGGATTTTGGTCAATATCTCGAAATCGAAGCCAGACAGAAAAAAACTGAGAACGTCACTGAATTCTGCTTGAAAAAGTGCTTTCAAAAGGTCTTTACGGAAATAAATTATTTCCATAAATAAAAAAGTTATGGAGGTTTTACAGTATTGCTCAAAGTCTAGAATCGCCCTCTAGCGGCTAAACGGTTGAAGATATCAAAATGCGGTTTGCACTAATCAAAATTTCATGAAATTTGAGCCTCAGAGTGGGGGGTCCATTTTTTTCTATTTCTAAAAATAAAGGGTGTTTCCATAAGAAAGTGTTCAATTTGGACCACCCTGTACATATACGTTAAAAAAATAAGTACGTAAATCGTAAAGTGAAGTAATTTACTAGAAAAAAATTACAGTGTCGACATCTGTCATTGACATTACTTCATGCACTAGTGTGTAAAGTGAACTACTTTACGTACTAAGGCGTGAAGTAAAATTTTACGTCTTTTGAATAAAGAATTGCATAAACTGAGTGAATACGAGTGGTTTCACGATCTCCAAGTTTTCCGGGCATTGTTCCGAATTCCGGCCGGACTTCCCCGGACATCCTGAAAACCCAAACATGTCCGGGTAAATCCGGACGTATGGAAACCCTAATGCTTACTTTTCATGCATCCGTTTTTCCGTCAAACCGTCGATCCGGAAGTATTCCTATTGGACATTGGTCCAATATTTAGGCGCCAAAATATTGGACCAATAGGATTTTTTCCGGATCAACGGATAGACGGAAAAATGGATGCATGAAAAGTAAGCCTAATTCAATCCCACATATTCTGTCCTTTAGAAAATTAGTTGTGTCTGGCGGCTCTGGGCTCTTAGACTAAAATATAAATAGGAGAGAACAAGAGAACACCATCACAGTGAAATACTTGAAGTTTCAAATGTACTGAATATTTCGCTTCAAGTATATTTTTCTAATCAGTACCTCTTCCAGGGGCCTTTTTCTGTAAGGAACGAACCGTTTGACAGTGGCGGCTCGTGACAATCCAAACTGGTGAGGCCCATGGTCCATCAAGTTAACCCAAACAAAATTTTCAAGTGTTACGCCCAAATTTTGACCCAAAATTTCATTAAAAGAACATCTGGGATATTTTTTTTTGTATATTTCTAATGAAAATTTTCATTTCCTACAGTTGCAAAACAACAGCAGTAGGTACATAATTCTTATTTTAATACAAATATTGAGTTTCAAATTAACAAAATAAATTCCAAAAAACAGTTTTTCAACCCACAACAGACCAAAATAAAAAGTATGAGCCAATTAACCAATTAAATACTTATCGCAGCAGCAAGAGATGCAAGATTTCTTGTTAACAAGCCCAAAATTGTGCGCCTCAATGCCTATAAAAATTCGCTATCGTCTCACCTACAGTTGAAGGGTTGTGGTGGGGAGTGCCGTGGCATCGCTTCGCCGTTCTGTGACGCACATGAGGCCAAAATTTGTGGGATTGCTATTTTATTTTAATGCTGTCCGGCAACGATTTGAGCGCCTATAAGGATAAATAGGTAGAAGCGCGCGCTAAATTCAAGAAATAGTATTATATTTTAATGAAAATTCGATGTTTTGATTCTTTTAAGGATTGAAAATAGTTGAAAAACGTTAAATATTTAATAAATATTATTTCAAAATTTTACATCATTATTGTAATTTTTACATGTGAGGCCCGGCCTCAGTTGCTTTATACGACGAGCCGCCACTGCCGTTTGATTCGGTAGAATTTCTTAGATTGTGACGTCATTTTCGGTTTGGTTTTCGCGAAACCAAACTGAAAATGACACCACAATCGAAAAAAATTCTACCGAATCGAACGGTTCGTTCCTTACAGACTAAGGCCCCAGGACTGGGACTCTGTAACAGATAGAGATCCTTTTTGCTATGGCACTTGCTGTCTTCTTCTCTATTTTATTTTCGAAATCAATAGAGAGGGGGATGTCAATAGAAATAGAGATAATATTGATATCTCTATTTATTACAGAGTCCCATCCTTGCATAAAAAATATGAGTAAAGACTTGTTGCAAGGCAAGAGAGCCAATGCAAATTAACCAAGCTTAGTTTATTTCTCACCCCAACTGTAAACAGAAACGGCTTCCATAGTTTTGCTATTCTCAAATCACCAGATGCTACATGAACATTAGTAAATGGTGTTGCTAGACTTCCAGTTTCGATTTTCACCTCTTCCTGACCCTGGACGTCGTTCCGGCCTTTTCTGAAGCTCCTAGTTGATTTAGTATACTTGTTTGTAGCATTCTTTTGAAACAGACTTTTTCTTGTTGAGCTAAAATAATGAATTACACAAGATAATGGGTTTTTACACTATAGGTGCACAATTTATATTACCATAACCAAAACTGACCCATTCGATTAAGTGCCATTTTGAATTGAGTTAGTTAATTAACCCTTGTTTTTGGGGCAGAATAAATTCAATGTTGTGTGTTTTTTTTTTCTACTAGTGAATACTGAAAACTAGGAAAATAAGTTGGAAATTTTGCTCAAAATAAAAAAATAACAAATTTGACTGACAGTTCTGACACTTATGGAGAAAGCTGTCGTGTCAGCTCAACTGTCAACAAAACCTCTGTCAAATTATTCAATACTACCAACCTTGCGTTCGGTATTTTGCTCAAAGAGCAGAGCGTGCTGAGCGGAGCCGTAATCACGTGACCAGTGAGCGAACAGAGCAGTTGAACGCTATATAAAAGTGCCAGAAATTTTAATAAACGAACGCCAATGAGGCTGCACCGAGTACACTTTTCAAATAAACGAACGGTAAAGTCAAGCTCGGAGAACTCGGACCAAAATAACGAACGCACGGCAAGGATGATACACACTACAATACAAAGCCTATCCTCATGAGGCCTGTGTTGAACAAATCCCCCCAGGCCAAATCACCAGTTGTGAGTGTTGTGACGTAGGCATAGGCAGCATGTTATTTCTTGTCTTGTCATAGGCCATGTTCCGATATCAGTACTGCCAGTACTGGATTTATGGCGAGCCCTAACGGTAGGTATGCCTTAAACTGACATTTCTCCATGTAAAAATGTCATTTTAGGGAATACTTATCGTTAGGGCTCCCCTAAAATAGTTGGTGGAAACGACCATTACTGTGCTGATTTTACTCTCATTTGCCGTTCCGATTTGAACAGCGTACTCTTGTGGCCATTTAGTACTGAATCGATTGAATTCAGTGTACTGAAAATAATATCGGAACGGCGTCCAGTAAACTCAGAACTGACAGTTGATATCGGAACATAGGCATAGGCTGTTTAAACCAATGAACTATAGCTAAAAACTGGAATGCGCACACATGAAAATGAGGCCATGAAAGACAGATGCCACAAGGGGGAATGTTGTTTTTTTCTGTTGCTCGCCGTCATATGACGTTTTCGAAAGTTTTATCATATTTCCCTTCACAGGTTTCATCGATTGGAATACGTGTTGGAAGCAATTTTCGCCATTTAACATAATGAGTGCGACAAAAACAGGTATCCCCTCCGCAGCAGCTGCACTAGGCTTCACGTTCGTCCTTATGTGTTAGCATTCCAGTTTTTGTTTATAGTTCATTGGTTTAAACAGCTGTTGACTTAGTTATGACGTCGGAAATGGTGACACACCAGTATGGCGGCTATTACCAAAAATGAGGCCGATGAGCACCCAGGATGGATAAGCACTCCTTACTCGTTTATTTAAAGAGTGTACTCGGTGCAGGCTCATTTGCGTTCGTTTATTGAAATTTCGGGCACTCGAATACAACGCTCAGCACGCTCTGCTCCTTGAGCAAAATACCGAACGCAGCGCAAGGACAATACTACCACTACCGCATAGACGAAGCTGCGTGTTGCGTTTTTCGGCAACCAACGACATCTCGGCCAACAACCAACTTAACCAACCTACCCAATAATTGATAAAATTAAATTGGTTGGCAATAGGTTTTTGGCCAAGGAACTCAAGAAAGGAAATTAGGTATAAAAGGTGGCAAATTTTCTCCTAGGTATCCATTTAGAGTCCAATGAGAATCCATGTCAGAATAATGACAAGTTACAAAGTTGCATTTCTGTTTTGAGAATAGGAGTTAAGATACCAACGAAAACCTCTGAAGTTGGATAGCCAAGTAGTCCAAGTACATCAACTCATCAAACATGACGTCACCATCAGTACCACTAGTCAAAGTTGTATTTTCTTTTAAATTTAGCCTACTTGAAAAATAATTAAATTATCCATAATAATCAGAGCTGGGTAGGGCTTGAGTGCTTTGTGCTTGCGAAAGTGCTTGAAGCACTTTGAGGGCTTGAAAGCCCTGTGCTTCAAGCCCTTTTATAGATTTGTAAGTGGGGCTTGCAAAGTCAATTACTTTAGAAAAGTGCTTGGTAATTTGTAATTGAAAAAAGTAATTCAAGCCCTTTCAATGAGCTTCAATTACTTTTAGAGGGCTTGAAGCACTTTTGGGAGCTTGAAGCCCTTTGAAAGGGCTTGAAGCACTTTAAGAGGGCTTGAAGCACTTTTGGGAGCTTGAAGGACTTTGAAAGGGCTTGAAGCACTTTAAAAGGGCTTGAAGCACTTTAAAAGGGCATGAAGCACTTTAAAAGGGCTTGAAGCACTTTGAAAGGAATTTGAATTGACCATCATTCAACCTATCCCCCACTTAAAAATTTTCGATGGTATTTTGTCCTTTAATTTTCTTTTCTATTATTTGAACTTGAACCGTCTTATGTCTTTTCTCTCTTAACAATGGAGGTTTTGGGTTTGAGCTTAGAATGGAAAAAAAAAAAAATGAACGAACTTATTATTCAAATAAATAATTAATTTATATTGGTATCCTATTTCACTTTATCACTGGATTTTTTTCACTTTTCCCCAGTGAACATTTTGAAAACCTCAAAATTGAATTACCATGTCATGTAGTATCCCAACTACCCCAAAACTACATCTCAAAAAAAAACATACTACTGCTACTCTGTGAAATGTAAAGTGCGTCTCTACTATACCAATTCTGTGTGATGAGTGTACGCGGTAGCTTATGCCACTTTGAGAATTTTATTACAAATTCAAAGTGCTTTAGGCACATTCAAAGAGCTTCAAGCACATTTAAAGAGCTTGAAGCACATTTAAAGAGCTTGAAGCCCTTTTCAAGGCACCCCAAGCACTTTTGATGTGCTTCAAGCACTTTTCAAATCACTTTGAGGGCTTTGTGCTTGTGAAGCACTTTTGAAAATAAAAAGGAATTTGTGCTTGAAATTGAAGCACTTTGATAGAGGGCTTAGTGCTTCAAGCCCTTTTACTGAGGGCTTTGCCCAGCTCTGATAATAATAATTAAATATTTTTTTTATTGGTTATGAAAAAAATAAAACTATTCATGAAAATAGACAATCAAACTATTTATTATTATTTTGTGCCACAAATTATGAATTTAATTAAGAAATTACAATTTTTGATAAAAAAGTTAAAATGTACAAATTAAATATTAAAGTTAAAAGTCCAATATTGCAGTCCTCTTACTACTGGGCGTTGAGGCAAACACGTTAGCACAATAATTATTGCTATAGTCTCCAGTATCATGGGTACAATAACCAACATCAGTTGTATCGTTTTCAAGCATTTTGCCCTTTTCTACAAAAATCTGATCTTCACTTGGCAATGAAGTATTTTTGTCTGCAACCTCAAATTGACTCCTGAAACTTTTGCTCAATCTTTTCCTCTGCTTCTTTCTTGTAAATAATTTGGAACGTGGAGTATAAGAATGTGAAACGTCCATCTTATCAGAATCCGTACAAGAGCTAGAAAAGCTTGAAACCATACTGCAATCTGCATTCTTTCCAAATGTAGTATCAGTTTTCTTCATAGGCGTACAAGTAGTCAACATAAGTTGATCGTCTTTATCCAAAACTTCATTTCCGCTGATGTCTAGTTGATTGTCTTTATCAGAAACTTCAATCACGCTGATGTCTATGCTCATATCATCAGAGAAAGAAAATCTTGTGGGCAAGGGCAAGGTTTTTGTAATAGGAGAGAGGGCGGAACCGTTTAGTTCAGGAGTTCCAAAGCCTCTTGTGGTGGGAGAAAATAACAATGCAGGAATGCCCAAGTCACCTGATATTGCTGCTGGGGGTGACAATGACTTTACTTCAGCAGAATTTTCTTCATTGTCCTCAAACTCAAACAACTCCTTATAAAACGAAGCATTATCATCCATACTAAATCCGATACATTGCTCATCTGTGTTAACATATTTCTCTGGAGTCACCCCCAAACTTTCCCTTACCAGACAAAAAGACTGCTGAACTTTAGCATTCAAAGGGCTAGGAACTATTTTATTCTCACTAAAAAATTTACATATTTTTTCTTGCACCATTGATTCAATATGGGGGTCTTCTGTGACCACATGCTGGCTCAAGCTACTCTCATCAATATCAGCTGGTTTCAGGATTGAGATATCGTCGATGGACCATTTAAAATTTTCTTCAGTCTTTGAAGTGGATATTTGCTCAAACACGTCAGGGCTGCACGTTGGCAAATGCAGTCTTTCAAATAAATGAGGCTCGAACGGGTTAAAAATTATAGCAGATTTTGAAGGGGGTGTGGAAAAGTTAGGTAAATTCTTGAAGGGACTACCACCCATACCAGATATTTGTTTGTAAAACTTGTTTATTTTAGTCTTGGGAGAGGGAGTTTTGTGTTTGTGGGATTTACTATCACTCTTCACATTCTCCGACATCATTATTGAGCCTGTATAGACCGCTAATTACTAAAACTAAAACAAAATTGCAATTATTATTTTAATTTAAAAAAACGGTTACGTGAACGTCCGTTATAAAAGTCAACAAAACAAAAATCAAATAATAAAAATTTTGAAATTTTAAATGTACAGTGACAGATGACAGTTTCAGTACCGGTACCTACCTAACTGGCACTTCCCAAAATTGACCGATTCTCTACCTGGGTCCTTATTCTTGAAACAGGGGAGCAGCGTTCCCAGGAGAACGAGTGTTCCGTCTTTCTCAATGATATGCAACTGATAATATAAGTAGCAAGGACAGAGCACTCGTTCTCCTGTGAACGCTGCTCCCCTGTTTCAAGAATAAGGACCCTGGTGCGACTCCGAAGAGTTTACAAAAAAAACTCAGATAAATGCGCTCGTCCGTTCAAAAATAGCCCGGAACTGGAAATCCTAGAATCGGTTATTAAAAAGAATTTTTTTTTTTTACTTAACACTTTTAGAAAAAAATACAATTACAGGGGGGGCTTTATTTAACTAAAAGCGGGTATTATAAAACTGCTTTGACAGTTAACTTGAAGGTAACTTTGTGAATTACATGTAATTTCAGAAGTTAACTTTAGGCTAACTCTCAAAGTAGTTTCATAATACCCGCCCTTAAGTACACGCAAATGACGTCCTCTGCGATTGAAAATTGATGCACGGCTATTTGACACTTTTTCAATCGCAAATTACGTCATTTGCGTGTATTTTAGATGCATCAACAATGAAATTCGCTCTGACTGGTTTTGTGATTTCTGCAGAAACAGACCTATTATTAGGTGACTACGAACAGACCACTTTCTGACCTAACTTGAAGAAAAAATCTGAACCGTGCGAATTTTTTTTATCCTTATCCTTGTTTTACTTTTTATTAGAAAAAGATGGGAATATACTCAGTGCACACTGATCGATAAATGGAAATCGAAAACTTCAACATAAGGCGGGTTCGGCTTGCTCACTCTGTGCACTCCGAGTGAGTCCATTCGCACTCCAGCCGTTCGGGTTAAGGTTCGGGTATTGCTTTTTACTGTATTGGGGTGACTCCATTAGCTCTGTTCTCACTCCACTCCAACACCGCGCTGAATAGCCAAACCCAGCTATTGGGTCAATGAACTAAACAAACACACTGAAACGGTGGCTGGATAATGTTTCTTCGCCGCAAGGGTTTGGGCTAGGAAGGACAACAGACAAGTGGGATTTGCATCTCTCTGCACTATGGCGGCTTTTGAGAACAGGCCGGGGATTCTAAAATCACGATTCGTCGTGATTCTAGAATCTCGGCCCAGCTGTTTGAAGTGTTTGGTTCATTGAGGTTAGGAAGATGCAAGGAGAATACACACTCTAAGGAGTGCTTAGTCGCTTTCCAGTATGGGAGTGTGACGCTCGGAGCTACTCGGGGGGTTGAGCTCCCGAGATGTACGTACGCGTCAACGTGTCAGCTGTCACATCCGTGGGTGGCTATTTATTTATTTATTTCTTGTTATATATCTCAAAATTATGAACATTTAAAAAAATATAGTTTTGATTCTCTTTCATTTCTGATAAATAAAAAGACAAGATAATTATTTTTAAAATTTGACATATTTGACACTAAGGGAGGATTTTCATGCATTCGTTTTTCCGACGAAATATGTCCGTTTAACATTCTATTCTGACATAATCGTATATAAATATGTCAAAATAGAATGTTAAACGGACATATTTCGACGGAAAAACGGATGCATGAAAATCCTCCCTAAAGCCTAGTACTCATAACTGCGAAATTCGCATTTTTTTGACATTGCGTTGACAATTTGACGTTTTATGCGTGTATTAAACGTCAAATTGTCGAAGCAATGTCAAAAAAATGCGAATTTCGCAGTTATGAGTACTAGGCTTAAGACAGGCGTCTCACGCCATGATACTGGAACGGTACAAATCTAGTGCGTCGCCCCCGAGGTGCTCTAGAGCGCGCTAGAGTGCGCCAATATGCATAAAGCGGCTCTTATCGGCCTCGTTTTTGGTAATCGCCTCCATATTGGTTTTCAATTCAACCATCGCCGACGTCATAACGCTAAGTCGTCAGCTGTTTAGACAGCCTACGTTAAGGCGAGAAACGCCATGCTGCTTACGTCACAACTGGTTGTTTGGCTTGGGGAGGTAGGGGTGGAATTGTTACAAACAGGCCTTATGAGGATAAGCCATTCTGTAGAAGTAGTGTGTATCATCCTTGAGGAAGATGAAGAAGCTCTTCTTTCTTTTACGTTAATCACAATAGTTGTATTCCTTTCAAGGGCTTAAAGCACTAGAGCTACTCGCTTCGGTGTTTAGTAGCCCCCGATTTGTAGAGAAAAGATGCGTGGTGCAACAAACATTTTTCGAAAGGAATAAGCGCGTGAAGCCCCGGAGCTGTTCCGGAGCTCCTCCTGGGTGTGAAAGGAATACAACTATTGAGTGCGAGCGAGACAACAATCCCTCTGTATGCTGTGCTGGGTTGCATATCGAAATTCGGTACACTAGCATAAATTAAGCAGTGCGCCCGTTCCAGAGTGTTTGTTTAGTTCAATGAAAAATGGTCAGTTCGTAAGCAGCTATAGTCCGTTTATAAAATCTGTAGAGTTTTTCGAGTGCGTGATCTGAGATTTATTCGGACGGAGCGCTGGTCGCCCAAGTTGACCCCCTAATTTGGGCCAATCAGCGTCCATAATCTCAGATCACGTACTCGAACTTAGAGCAGGTAATGCGATGTCCTACGGACATAAAGGAGTAGGAACGCACCATTCAGCTATGAAACTAATAGCGTATTTCATTGGTAGAGCAAGTGCAACACTGGTGCAATATTCGTGATCCATTGACAAAGTCCACGTTGCAGCAATGCACCGAGGTTGGCACTGAGTGATGTCGTGTTGGTGCGCCACCGGCTGAAAAGTTCGTGTCGCACTCAGTGCAGTTGCCTATGTTATTTTTGAAATTGAGGTTATTGGTTGCTGATGGTAATTCATAAAAGAACAGTCCCAATTTTTTGTTTTATTGTGTTTTTTATATTTGTCTGCAAATCTACTACCAACTATGTCGAAAATCGCTTGTTGATTGCAATTGCCTTACTACTAATGAAATACAAATATCTAGGTTCGGCTATTCATCACAGAGTAAAGTGGAGTGTGAAATTAATACACGAACGACCGGAACGGTCGGAGCGGAGCAAAAATGTCAAGCAGCAAACAGGTGATTTGTTTTGTTTCAACAACAACAACAGTCAACCGTACAACGTTCCAGTTTCCAATTTTTTATTTTCACTTTTGTCTTTGGTCTTACCAGTTGAGTTACTCGGAGCTGTTCAATGTCAAATGCTTGTTCCTTTTAAAAGTGCGTTTAGCACCAGAGTCACTCATAGTGCATCATTGGTTGAAAATAGTTTTCTGACTGTTTTCAACTAATGAAATTTGCTCTGACCGATTTGTGATTTCTGCAGAAACAGACCTAATGATAAAATCTGAATTGTGTGTTTTGGAGTGACTCCGAGGAGCTCTTTCGGTGTAGCCCGATGTGTAAAAGAAATACAGTAATTAACAACCTGACAACAGAACAAGCCTGGACAAACACATTTGACTTCTGCGCATGCTTACTCTAAAAAAATTTCTTTCCGAGGTGGAACTTTTGGAGTGAACTCCATTTACTCTACTCCGTATAGTCGAAGGCTAATGGAGTCACCCCTAATATGCCAAAAAGCAAAACCCGAACGGCTGGAGAGCGAATGGAGTCACTTAGAGTGAGCAAGTCGAACCCACCTTTTTAAATATACTATAATATTTTAAATAGAGGCAGATATATTTATTCTATTTCCCGTTTCTCGGAAGTTGATAATAGGTACAAACTGATAAATGGAATGCACAGAACACTGGGCCTAATGTTATGTTTTTATTAAAGGCAATAGGCAATTTTTCGCGAGGATAATCAAGAAATCAAGCATAATTTGATTATGCTGGGTTATGTACATGATGCGTCAATTGTGTCATACTCCCCTAACTCCCTCTCCATCAAATTCTGGGCCTGCGAGTGACGTCAGTATCAGCAGATTATACCGATGACGTAGCTTGCAGACCTCGATGGAATGCTTGCGATTCGTTAGTCCATAATAGGGAACTTTCATATTTTCCAATTTATTTATTTTTAGATACTTCTAGTGATCAGATATTACATAGTTTTCTTTTTTTCCATTTTAATTTATACGTTCTAAGAAAAAAAAATTATTAAAATTCAAATCAAATACTTTGGCGCGGAAACGCGACGTTTCAATATGACAGCGCTCGTGACGTCAAGATTTTGTAAACAACAAACGCAGCAAACGAACTTCTGTTGCCGCAGTGCTATTTTTGTGTTATTTTGTTATTTAAGTGTGTTAAAGTTTGCTTTTAGTGATAATTGTCGCAATGGATGATGAATATTGTAAAGGACTGCTTTTGTAAATTTTATTCCACTTGGGAGTTTCCTATTGACATCCTATATCTCTGCATCCTATTGACAAGCTTGTTTACAGAATCGTGACGTCAAAAAAGGTAGCCATCATGGAAACATTGTTTTGGCGGGAAATTTTTTATTTTAAATTTAGTATTACTTTTTAGGCGTATTTTAGCGACAAGTAAACATCATACTGCACATACTACGATTCATGACGTCATAGTTACCCAAATAACAGGTGGAGTGTATTTGACAAAGGGTCTAAGAGAGGACGCCATGATCGTTGTTTATTTGGATTTGTTGAATTTTGTAAAATTTAGCGTTTTCGAGTTTCAATATTTTCTCCAGTGATGATTTTCGATAGATTGTGGTATTTTTGAATTTTATGGGTACCCTATGCCAAAAAAAAAATAAAATTACACTTTTGTGCACAAGTAAAGATTTTTAATTTTTTTTGCAAAAAAACTTTAAAATAAAATCACAGAAAACCATGGCAAAATGTGGAAAAACAATCCTCTATTTATAATGGAAAGAACTGTGTTGGTAATCGTAGCGTAATCAGCTGATGTTTTGCCCATATGCTCATTTTTGTGTATTAGAAAAAGATGCACTGACATACTACAACCAGTAACTATCCCTCCTAGGATGTTTACATGTTTACAGCCGAGTTTTATGTTGTGTTTTATGTTGTGACGTCATAGTATGTTAGCCATGCTCGCTAAAATGTAGTATCCCAGTATCCCAAGTAAATATAACATACTACTGGGTTAAAACTCTCGCTAAAATACGCCTTTTGTGTAACAAGGGCGGTATCAGTTTAATAAAAACAGTTCATATAAATATTGCGCAGTATAAACTATCGATTTAAAACTTTGGAAAAATTTATTTCACGTGCAAGTTCCCTATTATATCCCAATGCGTTCGAAAACACACCAGATAAAATTTACTCTTCTATCCATGTCACCATATACCCACTCTCACCTTTGGGTAAAATTCAACCCTGTTCCGAACGCACTCCATACTCCATGAGTTTATCGCAAGAATATACTGTTCCAAACAATGACGTTTCAAACCTGTTTTGATCCAGACTAGTGCAGTTGCAAAGAGAGAAAAGAGCGAAGAAAAGTACGTTTCCCTCCGTCCGCTATCATGAATGTAGCCCACAGGGACTCGTTTACCCAGAGCCGCTTTCCAGTATGGGAGTGTGACACCCGGAGCTACTCGGGGCGACGAGCTCCCGAGTTGTACGTACCCGTCAACCTGTCAGTTGTCACATCCGTGGGTGGCTATTTATTTATATGTTTCTTGTTATATCTCGGGATCGAACATTTCCAAAATATAGTTTTGATTTTCTTCAATTTTTAATAAATAAAAAACAAACTGCACCAACAAACAGATAATTATTTTTAAAATTTGACATATTTGACACTAAGACAGGCGTCTCACGCCATGATACTGGAACGGTACAAATCTAGTGCGGGGCGCCCCCGAGGTGCTCTGGAGCGCGCCAATGTGCATCTGGAAAGCGGCTCTGGGCTGCATTCACAATAGACGTCCGGATAAAGCCTAGTACTCATAACCGCGAAATTCGCTCATTTTTGACATTGCATTGACAATTTGATGTTTGATTCACGCATTCCAACTACCTGAGTAAAGCCTAGTAACCCCTCGTTTTTATTTAGCTATCTTTGTTTAGTGAATGGAAAATGACAATGACCGACATAGAATGGTGGATACATCGGTTAAATTTAATGAGAATAAAAACGCAGGGTATGCTAGTACTCATAACCAATGAACTATAGCACAGCCTCCTACACTTAACAAGCCATGAAGTTAAAAAGGCAACACCGCAATCTTACCGCCAAGTGGTGCTGGTGCTGTTTGTTTTGATAAGTATATATTTTTTATTTTGTTAATAATGACAAAAAATGCATCATTTATTGTACTAAAGGGTCAAAAACAGTAATTCAATGAATAATATAACTATATGTGTAAATAAGAACAGTAAATAATTGATTTAAATGAATATATTTCTAGATTCTAAAGTGTTATAAGTCTATGTTTCAGTATGTCTTTTGAAAATCTAACTTTTTCTTTCTTCGGGATTTTTTCAGAAGGCAGGTTTATTCAAATACTTGAGCTGATTTCCGAAAATAAGAGGTACTTTTAAGAGTTGGACGTTTTAGTTTGAACTCTCGAATTACTCCTTTATTCTTGTTTGTTTCAAATCTAATTATTTCGGTTTCTTCAAAATGTTCACAACACACCACAGAATTTTTCGTTATGGTATAATCTCGCCAATCTCGGGTACAATTATCTTGGTGTATTGCTTTCATCCACAACTTCTGCATTTCAGAATTTTTTTGGAAATAAATGTTTGCATTTCTTCAGGTTTTAAGGAACTCCTAGTTCGATTTGCACCCAGGAACACAGTAGTTTCACGGCATCTGGAAAAAAGTTTAAATATCTTTGGTAATATATCGAGGCCTTATGCTCTTGCACAATATTAATTATGTTTTAACCTTACATTACCTTCATTTTTGCTGCTGTACCCATTTGCTGAAAATTTGCAATCAAAGCACAAAGGAACAGGTATCAACTAAATATGGGCAATATATCGGTGTGTTTCTATCCATTTTTTCGTCAATAATGCCCACAAAAATACTAAACTGCAACAATATACAATGAACGCAATACACAGAAACAATAACCTCGATAACAAAATAGCATCATACGCGACGTTGCCGTCATTTCCAACTTCATGGCTTGTAAGTGTAGGGGGCTGTGACTATAGCCAAAAACTGGAATGCGCACACATTGCATATGCCAAAAAAATGAAGCCATGAAAGACAGATGCCACAAGAGGGTGTTGTTTTTTTCTGTTGCTCGCTGACATGACGTTTCGGAAAGTTTTGTCATATTTACCTTCACAGATTTCATCAATTGGAATACTTGTTGGAAGCAATTTCCGCCATTTAACATAATGAGTGCGAGAAAAACAGGTATCCCCTCCGCAGCAGCGGCACTAGGCTTCACGTTCGTCAATATGTGTGCGCATTCCAGTTTTTGGTTATAGTTCATTGCTCATAACAGTGAAATTCGCTCCAATCGCTTCTTTTGGACAATGCTTCAACAATTTAGCTGAGTTCGGCTATTCAGCGCGGAGTTGGAGTGGAGTGAACAGAGCTAATGGAGTCACCCCTAATACCGTAAAAAGCAATACCCGAACCTTAACCCGAATGGCTGGAGTGCGAATGGAGTCACTCGGAGTGCACGGAGTGAGCAAGCCGAGCTCACCCTTTGACGTTTTATGAGTGAATCAAACGTCAAATTGTCGAAGGAATGTCAAAGAAGAGCGAATTTCGCGGTTATGAGTACTAGGCTTGATTTACCTAGGTAGAATATAACCCGGGTTGTCGAATCGTGAATACGTCCCTGTGAAATTTAATTAAAACCAACTCAATAGCGAGTCACTCTCGGGTTAACCATAACTCCGGGGTGAACATAGCAAGTGGACACGCTTACCCTGGGGTTAAAACCAACCCGGAGGTGACTCGCTGTTGGGAAACCGGCTCCTTGTGAAATTACTATCTATCTAAGAAAAAACGTAAATAATCCTACTCCGCTTAGTCCGTAAACGACGTTGAAAGAGTACAATCCCGAACTCCACCGCGACTTTGCATTTATTGGAGCAAAACTTCTTTACTCCAAACGCACCCAAGCCTACTCTGTTCACACCGAGAATAATACCCGTATGAAAGAGTAAAAAGAGATGTGTACTTTAGTATTCTAATTCCCAACGGAGCAAATTTACCATTTCGAAATACGCATTCCCGCTTCCAACTGAGGTAGTTTGCTCCTCGAGCTTCCTCGTAAAATGGAACTCTTGGAGTATACTCTTTTTACTTCTTTCTTATAACCCGAACGCAAATCATCCTAGGCTTTTTACTCTGGAAACGATTCCAGAACAATTGGATTATAAAAGAGTAGAAAGAATTAGAATTCTCGAATCCGAACAGCCACTGTAATCCGAACAAGGGTGAGTTCGGCTTGCTCACTCCGTGCACTCGGAGTGACTCCATTCGCACTCCAGCCGTTCGGGTTAAGTTTCGGGTATTGCTTTTTACGGTATTAGAGGTGACTCCATTAGCTCTGTTCACTCCACTCCAACTCCGCGCTGAATAGCCGAACTCAGCTTGTACGTTTAACATTCGCCCCACTTCCTTTTTCCTTGCTGTCAAAAACATGTGTACTTTGCACATACTCAAATTTTGACCAATCCAATTATTTATTATTATTTATTTTTAATTTGTATGAGCAAAGTTGAAGTTGTTGTCTATTTATAAATTATAAACAAATAGCAGGACTCGTCGGACTCGAACAAAGGAAACCCAAAAAATGACTCAAATTCTAAGTAAGTTTGTCTATAAAATTTATTACATATTTACAACAATAAAAACTTTGCAACTATTTTAGATGCTGATAAACAAGGTTTGGTCTTTGAAATTATCTCGGCAAGGATCTCAGAACTACCAGATGACAAGAAATATGTAATATATACATTGCAAGTGAGATACATTTCAGGGACTGACGACTTAACACCATCTGTGATAGAAAGAAGATACACCCAATTTCAGAATCTCTATAATTCATTGAAAAAAGATTATCCAGCTTCGCTGGCCGATGTGTTGTTTCCAAAGAAAGTTTTAACTGGCAATTTTGATAACGAATTGATATCCACGAGGAGCACTGCCTTTGAAACCGTGTTAAAACATATTTCGAGTGAGAGTAAATTGAGTACATCCAAAGCAATGCAAGTTTTTCTTCAAGAGCCTGAGTTGAGTGAAGCAAATCAGTTGTGTGATAAGAAAGAGTTTGCAGGAGCTCTTGAAATATTGCAGAATGTTTTCAAGCTACTAAATAAAGTAAGTATTTTTTTTTTGATTTTTGCTGATAACTACTTAACTTCCTATAAAATCCAAAGAATCTAACTAAATCAGTACCCCAATTGTTTAGGTAGGTATGTAATTACTTCCTCACTTATTAATAAATGTATAATCCAATATTTTGAGCCTATGGTTGGTTGCTCAATTCTTGAAATAATGTGTAAATGGGCAAATGGCCTTATCAGCTTCATAGAAATGTTTGAACAAAGGTATGACTGAGGATATGACTCATGATGACGTTTCCTTTATTGAATTATTTCCCAAATGTTGGCAATAATATTTCTGCTTATAAAATTCTTTCTCATGCTTGTTTTGAGGTTGAATCATTGTATCTTATCTATTTGTTTAGCAGTGAATACAAGTTTAAATTAAAAAAAAAAAAAACAGTAGGCACTTAATCCCTTCGCTACTAAATACAGGGTGCAGCAGCCAAACCTGCAATTTTGAAAAATGCACTGGAGCCAAGAAAGTGGATGAGGCGAGTTGTCAAGGTTACCCTTGCATTCCCTTCTCGAAAGCATTTTAGTCATATTTAGTACTCATAAAACTGAAAACCTTGATCTGCCTGTTCACCCAACCTCACCAGATGTGATTTTTTCTTGTGGGGCTACCTGAAGAACAACCTCTTATTCTTGACAAACTGAAGGCGAGAATTTGTCAAATAAATAATGCTTTTTCCATAGCTACTGGTAAAGTAGCCTTTAATCTACTAAAAATAGTAGATAAAGTAGTACTTTAACAGCAAGGATAGATAAAGACGTTTATGTCAAAAATAGATACATATTTTGTTTTTTATTTATTTGTCAAAGTTTGTCAAACAAATTTCTACTTATGCAAAAGTGTTCGACTCAAATAATTTCTAAATATTTTTGATACTACGGGCGTCCATAATTAGCCTATGGAAAAAAACTTTGTTTTACACATGACGATAAAATGCCATTTTCGTCTCCCGGAATTAATTCACTCGCGGTTCCGGTCGTGAATTAACTTTTCCAGTCAACGATAGACTACCATTTGATCATCTTGTATAAAAATAACTATTATTAAATAAAATTTGAAAAATGCAACCATGCATTATTTACTAGGCAGGTTCGACTAGGACCGTTTTCACTTGGACCCCTGTTTCATGACTACTTAAATGATTTGAAGGGGGGAGCACGACGGTAAACTTGAGAACCCGCCCCACCCACTTTCTTGGCTCTCACGCTTTTTTCAAAATTGCAGGTTTGACTGCCGCACCCTGTATGTGGTAGAACAAACTAAACATAAATCAATACTTACTACAGAAAACTTAAGCAATAAATACCACTTGATAAATAATATTGAAGCTTGGTTACTCCTTGCGCAAAAAGATAAAAACCCCATGTCACCAGTTTTGTAACTTAAAATGAAAGATCACATGAGCTTCTGTCAACAAGTGGTCTGTTCGCTCAGAAATCACAAACCAGTCAGAGTGAATTTCATTGGTTGAAACGAGTTTTCTGACTGTTTTCAACCAATGAAATTCGCTCTGAGTGGTTTGTGATTGCTGTGAGAAACCTTATGTCATCTTTTAGCTCGCGGAGGATCAACCAAGCCCACGTAATAAATTCAATTTTTCAATAATTAGAATATCCAATAGCCATATTTTTTTAAAACCTATAATATGCTCAGTTCTAATACTGGCTGGCACAATAATACAAACTATGGGAGTCATGGGACCTACACACTTTGACTGGTTGAGTGTTTGGGGTGAGGTGTAAATCGCCAACCAGCCAAATTTGTACACTGAATACATGGAATACAAGAATACATAGAAATACATATTGAATACATATGGCTACAAGGGAAAACATCGGAATACATGAAAATACATTGCAAGGCAATACAAAGCTCTACAAAAGAGCTCAATGTAAATTCTGTCCCTACAAAATTTTCAATTTTCTTTATCTTCTTAATTCCTTTCCAAGGATTTCTAAGTCTAGCAGCTGGACTGGATTTAGGCAGGATCTAGCTAGTGTTGGAATAAAATCTTTTGAGTCTGTATTCACTTTTTTTTTTGAAAATAATCCTTTATTATTTCTATATTATACAGGGTTGTGGTCATGTATGAAAATGGCCTAATATTTCTGAACGCGCTCAAGATCAATGTACCATATTTTCTATCTGGGGGTTTTTGGGAATGCCCGATTCAATGGTGGTATTTGCAATGTTGCAAACTTTACCGTTTCTAAGATGTCACATGTAACTTAATTTTTTTGAACAAAAGTTCCTCTTTATTTTTATCTTAATTAATTCAGCGTCCCAACATTACTAAAACCCCTAAATGCCAAGCCTCCATTTGACATGGTTTTTAAAATATTGCAACATTGCTTTTTTTGTTGAAATGTATGGAATCGGTCTCGTATTTCAGAACAGGCTTTAGAAAAATGTAATAATTCAAATTCAAAATAAGCTTTATTATCTTAAGACAATAGTCTCATTGACAAAGCATAAATATTACATAAGGGAAATCATCAATAATCAAAGTCAAAGTCAACACTTACAGCAACAATCAAAATACCTAATTAAAAATAATAAATCAAACAAACAGAGTGACAATACTTTAACATAATGCAGAAAAAAAAAAACAATAAATAAAGTAAATAGAGTACGGGAGGAAATTATCAATAGCTAAAATCAACAGTCACAGCAACAATCAAGCCACAATTAAAACTTATAAATAAAATGAATAGAGTGGTAAAGCTTAAACATAAAATGTACAGTTTAAAAGCCTCTGTAAAATTCGTCAATACTGTAATACGCCTTACCAATCAATAGCCTTCGGACCCCATTTTTAAACAGTTTCAATGTCGGAGAAACTTTAACTTCATTGGGTAAATGATTATACATTTTTATACTTTCGTATATCACAGACTTTTTAGTAAGAGTTAAGGTAGGTATAGGAAGAGGTAAATTAAGCAACTGGCGAGTATTGTAACGCGAGCTAGGAGATATTAAATTGTGACGATTTTTATAGACAATACAAACACTTTCCAAGATAAATAGACTGTACAATGTCAGAATTTTGTGGCTCAAAAACAATGGCCTGCATGAATCTCGTGGCTTCGCTCGACTTAAATACGTAACTGCTCGTTTTTGCAAGACAAACAAGCTGTTAAGCAAACGCAAACCAGACATGCCCCAGAAGCAGATCCCATATCTGAGACGTGACTCAATGAGCGAGTAGTAGACAGTTCGGCCCATTGAAGGACCCAATTCATTGAAGTACATATTCAAGATTTATAGGGGGGCTGGTAGTCCCAAATAAGAAATATTGTACACTTTTCTGAGATATGAAACCGTTAATATCATAACATAAGGAGATTTTTCTGTAATATCAGCTTCAGTAAGTAAATTCATTTAGGCACTAGCTGATGTCACACACAACCTCACATTCGACTTTCGATGGGGGGACAAACAAAGCGTTTGAAGGTCTATTTTTACACGCCGGCGCTAGCTATGACGTCAAAAATCATAACGTCACTTTCGATAGGGGACAAAACTGTCATTGAGAGGTTATGTGTGTGACGTCAGCTAGTGCCTCATTCCTAATATGACAGTATCATTGACGTCATTTAGAGCTGCATTTACACATGATTCTATGTTTATGGGCAAAACTTCTGAGGTTAGAATTTACAATAGCAGATTGCTGGAACTTAAATGATGAGTTTTCTTCCTCCAGAACTCTTCATTTATGTCAACACAATCTCTTGTGTTCAAATATTATCTATATCATAAAACTTTTGATGCTGAAATTGGCGACTGTGGAGAACATTGAAGTAATTAATATCTTCTATTTTTGAACACAATCAAGTATTTTTATTATCCAATTTTGTGTTACTTCAAGTTTGTTGTTCCTGTATTGCCACATACAACAATGCCCTAATTCAAAATAGATTCTATCAAACCAAATATACAGATTTTATAGCTTCAAAGTACAGAACATTTCTTAATTCCTAGAATTTCAAAATTACCCTACGAACTTTATTTGTTTATCCTAATATTTCAGGATTTTTTTCTTTCTATAAAACTATTGTAGATGCAGCCTCAATAGATGTTAGAATCTGAATTATACAATTTTTTTTTGAATCCTGGCAATGAGCGGGACAGAGAGGAAGCAACAAATTTTGTTTTCCAATATTTGAAGACAGTAGACTATTGTCAAGCCAAGATACAAGCAAAAAAATAAATACATAATAACAAAATAATATACAGGGTGTCCCACGAGGTTTTACCCAAGTCATAACTTCGGAACGCGTCATCGTATGTTCCACTGTGTAATTTTCTATCATTTTCTTTAACAAGGCCCTGACAAATGTGGCATTGTCGACTTTCTTATTTAATTTTCTAACAGAAAATGCCATAATATACCATAAGTTACATTTAAGATTCTTAAGTTGCCGTCACTTGACCGAAACTGTAGCAAAAGTGGTGAAATTGGATGACAATGGTAGAAGCGGCACAAAGAGTTATCCTCAAAATTTCAATTTTGTTGGATAACGCGTTTCGAAGTTATCACCTGGGAAAAACGTCTTGGGACACCCTGAATTTCAGAAATAATTCAGTCTGGTTTTGATGTTTTTTTTTTTTTTTTGAGATAGTCAGGAAATAGCTTTTGGTATTGTATTATACTCAGTATTATACTTGGTATTATATGTTTGAATCGAACGAGGAACCAAGGTTTTTTTCTATATAATCGGGAATATTGGGACTTAGGAGCTGAAAAATTTCCATACGATAATCACAGTTTGAAATCGGGTTTCACGTGGAAAATGATGTGGAAATTTCGGAAAATTTTCAATGATTTGAATATGTCTGGCAACGCGGTAGAGTAAAAATCATGCATACATTTATGATTAATTTCAATTTGCCATATGGATTAGATATTGGAAAAATGGTGACAGACAAAGGAAAATTGATAAAAAAAATCGAGGGGTAGACTGCCAATGTATTCCAGTGTACAAGCCTCATGTCGAGCCTCATGTAATCCTATGTATTCTTATTTTCTCATGTAATCCAATGTATTCTTATGTATATACCCTGTTTGGAAATCACACATTTCAAATCCCTATTAAAATTAAAATTTATCTCTGATAATAAAGAAATTCATAAAATTCTCCAAACTACACAATATCCTAAAGGTACAAGTTAAAACCACACTATTGATTTTTGAGCAGACCATTAGTTGACCAATCAGCGTCTAATGCTTCGAATAGTTGCATGATGATGCAACCTTTATCTTCAGATAAGCAGAGAAAAACAGACGCCAGAAAGGCAGTACCATTTTAGTGATCGAATAGGGTTGTTGCGCTTGCAGCGCAGCACTCTAGATGCACAGTCTCGTGCTCCTCGCACAAAATCAATAAATTTATTTATCGTGGTACAAAATTGCCAGTTGACTCAGTGTTAAGCCTATGGAGAATTGTTCCAGGCTTTTACTTACATTCGAATAGTTTTTGACTTCTATATTAACGAAGTCTTCAATTAAGTGCCTGCTCCAGCGCCAAATTTGTTCTGGTCTCTACAAGACAAGTAGAGTCTAGTTTTTTTTGCAATCGCTTATTTTTGACATTAGTACCTTTTGTAAATTGCGAAGTTTGTTACAAAATTTATTTTTTCATCTACATCTGAGGATGAAGTACAAATGTCAAATGAAGCATTACTACTAGTTACTAAATAACTAGAACGTGCTTCAATATATTTACAATTTTACTTGTGTATACATTTGCATCAACTGTAAGCAGGACACTATCCCAACATTCCCAACACCCTTGTTTCATCATTGTTTTAAGATTTCCATGATCTTTAACTTTGTAAGAGCTTGTTCTGTTTTCTACCTTAAGGTATAGCATTTTCATTATTGATAAGATAATCTACAAAAAAATTGGTTTCTTTAAAGTTTACACTTTTTTTAATTGTAGGTTTTCTCAGACAGATCTCACGCAGTTTTATTGACACTATGTAGAATAGTAGCATGCTGCTCGGAATGTCCAAACGCTGAACAGTCTTTAAAATGGGCAGATTTGGCTCTGTATCGATTCGACGGTGTAAGGTAAGAATGATTATTAAAGAAAAGTAATTTTGCAGCTTCTATGTACCATCATCACCAAAAATAACTGGGACAGTATCATATTAGCTCTTGTACTATTATATGATTTTTAGTGTCAAATATTTGTCAAACTATGAATATCTGTGCTATGAATTAAATGAATGATGGTAGAATCAGTCCAGGAGATTATTATGAATTATTTTTGTCCCAGATACTTTTGGTGACGATGGTACCAATTATAAATAAAGTACCTAGTCCATAATTTAAAATTAATTATATAATTTTTAACAGCGATAGCGATTTATTAGAACTATACCTACCACTTCTCTATGCCTGCATTAAAATCTACGAGGCCAACAAAAAAGACACTGAAAGATTGTCAACTCAGCTAGATAACTTCCGAAGACAGGGAATGAAAGATATTGCAGGCCGAAGCCTTTTGGTGGCAGTAAATGAATTGGAAGCAAAGTTTTTATAAACGGTGATATTATTTAATTGAGATTAAGCAATTCATAGACTTTGTACACGATAACAAAAGTTGGTTTTAATTGGAATTTCTGCAAATAGAATTTTTAATTAAGATCAGCTTTTGTTCAAGTCTCGTGATTTTAATTATATGAAAATTATTATATTTTTATACCTTAAGTGACTCTCGGAATTACATACTCATTCAAATTTTAGAGGTTCTCACATCCAAAATTTAAAGTCTATTAGGTATTATGCCATTTTATTTAGGTTTGTCTCTAAATACATCAGTCTAATATTGAGATTATTTTTAGTTCATTGACATATTATTTATTTATTTTATAGGGTTGTATTTATTATTATATTACAAGTTTTTATTTTTATCAATATGTATTTATTTACCTTTACTATACTCTTACTCTATAATATTATATTTTATTATAATGGCCTGGTTTAAATTTAAGTTAATTTTTATGTTCAACAAAATTGACAAAAAAAAATTTATTCAAAAATAACAGGGATATTTTTCTACTCATAAGCTGTACAATCTTCAAGGTAGACAATGTACAATATTCTAAATATTTCATATTGATATTTTATCAAAATTTGGAAATAATTTACCTACCCTTTTTTAAATTATATATTGAGAATCTCATTAATGTAACTTCAATAACAGATAACAAAATCAAGGTTTGTGAAAATAAGAAATTCAAAAATCAAATCTGATATGGCAATAAAAATTAATCTATAAAATGATTCCTCCAGAAGCAATATTTACAAGAAATTGTCCTAGCAGCCCAGTTTATGTAGGTGAAGTCCGTCAATTTTAATCTGATACTCCAAGGAAATGTGAGCTGGTGGCTCCCTACATTAGAACGCCAGTGGTCAACTGACGTCACACCTGTTTTTGCCATAAGCTTCACCCCCTCGCTCCTCATACAGAAATTGACAGATTAAAAACGACAGACAATACATACGTACCTACTTTGTGATACTTTTTACTTCATAATTTGCCATATTGAATAATATTCTGTATGATTTGCTGATTACCATTTTGGTTGTTGTGCCACTTTTGTTTATTTTTGGCTGTTTAATACATTTCAAAAATATGTACTAATTAATTTTTGCCTTTATGGTTCCTATTATTGTTTAGAGTTTACTAATAACTATATTGATTTATGGGCATATATTATGACTCATTTGTCCATTATTTTATATTTACAGTGGTTCTAGAATACATTTAAATAGAAATTAAGAGGAATCAATCAATACATATGCATAGAGTCAATTAAATGAGATTTATATTTTATTTATTTCTTAGGGTATTAGATTTTAGACATACATATTTTTATAAATAATGTATGATCAATTTGGTCAGATAATAAATGTATTTCAAAATGTATTTGTTTCAATTAGGAAATGGTTTTCCAGTTCAAATTTGCATTTAAAATCAGAACAAAGTCCAAATTTGTTTGAGATGTGTTTCCTTGTACCTTTTTCTATTGATATAAATCAACAGAAACTGACTATCTTTTGGCCAAAACTTAACAGATTGTTCTAGAATACTGCCACAGATTGGATTTAAATGGGTAGGAGATCAAGTGTTGAAAATATCAAAAAACCCAATGGAAGGTTTTTATCGGTTTCCTCGAGATATTGTATGGGAGCTAAGTTTTATATAGGTTCTATATTGCCTCAATCAAAAAATTAGGAGTTGGGCAAAATTAGTTTGGTGTTTTATTCATTTTGCTCTAAAAATCACATTTGGGTAAAAATTTGCAGTTTTTCGCATAGATACAACCAGACGAACATTGGAAATGATGTAGCGGTTGTAGCATCGGATCACGAGGCTCAAACTCTGAGGGTCGTGAATGCGGTCGCTCCGGAGTGCAACTTCATGTCCTTCAAAATAGCTCTTTTTCAAATAGTAAATTGTCTCACTTTAAGCTTGAGTTGCAGGTTGCAGCGGGTGGATTGGTTTGAAGTGTATTCTAAACAACAGGTAAATACTGCATACCATGTTTTTAGCAGTATTTTGACCCAATACTTCAACCTGATATTTCCTGAGAAAACCATTAAAGCCAAACTGAGAAAACCTAAATACTGGATGACTTGTGGGATTAAAATTTCTACTTTATACAATCTTCAAAAAACCCAGGAAGAGCAATATGTACATTGATTAATTGGTACAGGGAAACGGGGGAAAAAAGAAAACAATCGTTGCTCCAAAACTATTCTAAGAAATACCCAAACAAAGAAAAGAATGTTATAGGTACTAAATGAAATAAATGATTTCTATATAAACCTATGTCCTGACCTCAATACAAATATGGATAGCAACTCGAAAAATATACCCTTTTACAAAAAAAAAAAAAATATTTTTAAAACTTACAAATGCTAATGAAATCAAGCACGTCATATCAAAATTCAAAAATAAAAAATCAGTAGGGCAAGATCAAATCCCAGTCATTTCAATCAAAAAAGTGGCAGATGAAATTGCTGAACCACTGTCTCATATAATTAATTTAATGCTTGTCACAGGAGTATTTCCAGATAAACTGAAAATAGCCCAAATAATTCCAATTTATAAGAAAGGAGACGCTCAGGAAATAGAAAATGTTCGACCAATTGTACTCTTGAATAACTTTAGCAAGATATTTAAGAGGATAATATATGATCGCGTTATTTCGTTTTTTGAGAATGAGCAGTTGCTGTCAACATATCAGAATGGGTTTAGGAAGAAAAAAAGTACCACCAGAGCTATCTATCAGGCACTAACTAAAATATTGGAGTCCCTTAACTTAATGGGAGAAACGATGACAGTGGCGATGTATTTGGATTTGTCTAAAGCTTTTGACAGTGTTAATCATGATGTGCTGCTAGCGAAACTAGAAAGGTATGGGTTGAGGAGCGTTCCTTTACAACTGATATCATCTTATCTATTTGATAGAAAGCAGCAAATTATTGAAAGACACAATGGGGAAACATTAACATCAATTTCTAGCCAGGTCTAAAATGGTGTAGGTACCGCAGGGATCGATCCTTGGACCACTGCTGTACATTATACACTAACGAGCTTGCAAATATAACTGATCAGTCTACAGTCTAGTTTGCAGACGACACTTCAGTAGTCTTTTTGGCAGAAGAAATGGAGGATTTGAGTAACAAAATTCACACAACTCTGGGCTCCTTTCAGGGTTGGTTTGACTCAAATGACCTGGTTTTGAATGTCGAGAAGACACAGCTGCTACGTTTTTCATATCAACGGGATTGTTCTCCCACTCAGTTTCTTTGTGCTGATGGTATAGCTTTGAACACTACATAGACAAAATCTTCCCTTCTCTAGTTTTCCAAGAAATCTTTGAAATGTGTGAGACTGTATTTTCAATTAATTCAGTTATTGTAGGCTGATTTCCAAGATTTTTCATGTTGCTATTTTCCACTGGAAAAATTTGAAATTTTGGAAAAATGAGCTTCTCACCTGCAAAAAGTTTCAAAAATTTTCCTTCACTAGTTTTCCAGGAAATCTTTGAAATGTGTGAGACTGTATTTTCAATTAATTCAGTTATTGTAGGTTGATTTTCAAGATTCCTCATGTTGTAATTTTTTACTGGAAAAATTTCAAATTCTCGGAAAATGAGCTTCTTGCCGTCTTCTTTACATGCAAAAAGTTTCAAAATTTTCCCTTCTCTAGTTTTTCAGGAAAACTTTGAAATGTGTGAGACTGTATTTTCAATTAATTCATAGTTATTGTAGGTTGATTTTCAAGATTTCTCATTTTGTAATTTTCTACTGGAAAGATTTGAAATTCTGGGAAAATTAGTTTTTCACCTTCCTTTTTACATGCAAAAAATTTCAAAATTTTCCCTTCACTAGCCACTAGTTTTTCAGGAAATCTTTGAAATGTGTGAGACTGTATTTTCCATTAATTTAGTTATTGTAGGTTGATTTCCAAGATTTTTCATGTTGTTAATTTCCACAAAAAGTTTCAAAATTTTCTCTTCATTAGTTTTCCAGGAAAACTTTGAAATGTGTGGGACTGTATTTTCAATTAATTAAGTTATTGTAGGTTGATTTCCAAGATTTTTCATGTTGTTATTTTTCACTGAAAAAATTTGAAATTTTGGGAAAATGGGCTTCTCACCTTCCTTTTTACATGTAAAAAGTTCCAAAATTTGCCCTTTACTAGTTTTCCAGGAAAACTTTGAAATGTGTGAGACTGTATTTTCAACTAATTCAGTTTTTGTAGGTTGATTTCCAAGATTTTTCATGTTGTTACTTTTCACTGGAAAAATTTTGAACTTTTGGAAAAATGAGCTTCTCACTTTTCTCTTTACATGCAAAAAGTTTCAAAATTTTCCCTTCTCTAGTTTTCCAGGAAATCTTTGAAATTTGTGAAACTGTATTTTCAATTAATTCAGTTATTGTAGGTTGATTTCCAAGATTTTTCATGTTGCTGTTTTCCACTGGAAAAATTTGAAATTTTGGGAAAATGAGCTTCTCACCTTCCTCTTTACATGCAAAAAGTTTCAAAACTTTCCTTTCTCTAGTTTTCCAGGAGAACTTTAAAATGTGTGAGACTGTATTTTCAACTAATTCAGTTTTTGTAGGTTGATTTTCAAGATTCCTCATGTAATTTTTTACTGGAAAAATTTGAAATTCTGGGAAAATGAGCTTCTCACCTTCCTCTTTACATGCAAAAAGTTTCAAACTTTTTCCTTCTCTAGTTTTCCAGGAAATCTTTGAAATGTATGAGACTGTATTTTCAACTAATTCAGTTTTTGTAGGTTGATTTCCAAGATTTTTCATGTTGCTGTTTGCCACTGGAAAAAATTGAAATTCTGGGAAAATGAGCTTCTCACCTTCCTTTTTACACACAAAAAGTTTCAAAATTTTCCCTTTTTTTAGAGGAATTTGTGGGGTATTTGGAGAAGTTCGTGGTGTGATATTTGGAGGAATTTGTGATGGGATATCTGGAGGAATTTGGAGGAATTATGCGTAAAAAAATTTCCCTTTGAGGAATTGTTTGCACCAATTCTGGGATGGTGGTTTATCCCTTGGTTTTAGTCAGAATTACAGAAAAGGCATTCCTATTTGAAAGGTTACGGGGGCATTTGTGAGCCCAAATGGCATTATTTGATATGGAGAAAAATGAGTAAAATCTCCAGAGACAAGCGGCTTTCGAGGCGGCTTTAGTCAGAATTACAGACAAGGCATTCCTCTGTGAAAGGTTGCAGAGGCATTTGTGAGCCCAAATGGCATTATTTGATCAGGAGAAGGAGTAGAATCTCCAGAGATAAGCGGCTTTAGCTCAAATCAAAACCTGGAAAATTCGTAGTAAATAGTTAGGTCTATGAACACTACAAGATCGGCCAATTTCCTGGGGGTAAAAGTGGATTCACGGTTGGACTGGAGTGACCATATTGACTGCCTGGCTGGTCAAATATCAAGGCACTGCTATGCCCTGAGGGTGCTGGCACGTAAGGTAAATATGAGGTTGCATCAACTGCTTACCACAAGATTGAGGTATGGAGTTGTATTCTGGGGTAATAGTCCCGAAGTCTCTCGAGTTTTTATTGCACAAAAAAGATGTATAAGAGCAATATTTGCTATGTACCAGACAGGTAGTTGTAAACCCATATTTAGGGCTCACAACATATTAACATTACCAAGTCAATATATCCTGAAAGCAGCATTGTTTGTTAAGCAAAATCCTGACCTTTTTCTTGAGCACATTAGTCGGCATTGCTATGATACAAGGGGAAGGACTGATCTTGTCAATTGTCAATGTTAGAAGCAATTTAGTTACATACAAAAAAACGTTCAATTTTAAATTATAAAAATTTTCAACAAGCTACCTTCAAATTGGCAAAGTTTGCACCTTAAACATAAGTTGAAAAACCACTTACTTCAGAGGGCTTACTACTCGGTGGAGGAAATGTATGATGACAATTTGAACAGCGAAAATTGAAATGAGGTTTGAACCAATATATGTATTCTAATGCTCAGTATTGTATTTTTATATTGTATTTTCATGTTATATTTTTATTTTATATTGTAATTTATATTCTTATACCTATTTTATATTTTAATGTGTAGTACTGTATAAATGTTTTTTTTCTCTAAATGTGTTTGTGACTTAAGTATTTATAATTTTTAACTCAAAACAGTCAATTCAATTCATATTTAGCTTGTAATATTAGATTAGGGTATTTTTAAATTGACACGTTTCTATGTCCGAAAGGGCTTTTGTGATGATTTTTTTATATTTACAATTATGGAACAAATAAATGCTGACTATGACTATGTGAAGTAAAATGGAAAGTTCATGTGATTTATATTGTGATAAAAATGGATTTTGATTAATGATGTGCAGGGTTGGCCAGTCCTTAACCCGTTTTTTTTGGAAATTTCTATTGGGTTTTTGGGTTTTTACCAGTTATTATAGATTTTTCGTGTTTACTCAACTAGAGAAAATTTTCCAAAAACAACCCTGATGAGACAGTTTTTGTCACACAGCTCCTTTAATTTTGATCCGATTTCAACGTGATTAGGTTCTAATTAAAGCAAATTAATTGGTTTACAAACCTGGTATGTAATTAAGATTTTAATTTGGTTTCAACAGTTTTGCACCTGAGAAGCTTCAAAATTAAAATTATCGAACATTGAAAATTTTCCAAAAATGACACTGACTGAGACAGTTTTTGCCTCACAGCCACAGCTCCTTCAATTTTCATCCGATTTCGACGCACTTCTCACTCTTCAGGTTCTAATTAAAACTAATTAAGTTCTCTACAAATCTGTTAATTAAGATTTAGATTTGGTTCTACCAGTTTTGCACCTGAGAAGCTTCAGAAGTAACATTATCGGAACATTGAAAATGTTCCAAAAATGACACTGAGACAGTTTTTGCCTCACAGCTCGTTTATTTTCATCCAATCTCAACGTAATTAGGTTGTAATTGAAGCCAATTTAATTCTCTACAAACCTGTTAAATTAAGTCCCTACTAGAAGATGGTATTGGTACCCCCTTCAAAATCTGGATAAAAAGGAAAAAAATCTTACTTTTGTCGAGTTTTCTGATATTTTCTAACCTTACTTCATCTCCCACCTAAATGTAAAAATTGTTCTGGTGTGGACAGCTTATTTGTGGCTGGAAATCTTCACTTACTCAGCACTCAAAAGTTCAGTCGGTCATTCGATATCACCAAGTGTTTGAATAAATTACGCGTCAGAGTTTGTAGTTCTGACAATTTGTTGAGATTGAACATTTTTTCATGATAAACTTGATTCTTTCGAAAAACAAAGTTTAGCATGTGATTCTTGAAACGTGACTTTGTCATGCAAATTTTAAATGAAATCTATCTATCTAACGAGCCCCAAAAACTATCTTTGGACATAGTCCTTCCCTTCATTTTTCTCACTTCTCTATTAATTGCGATCTGCACTCATCTCATCTTCACCCAGTGGGTTTCTCTACTAGATCATCTTTTTTGTTGAGATGAATGAAACAAAGGAAATTGAAAGATAATTGAACATTTATTTTATATACCACAGAGATAACTTACATCTTTAATTCAATAAACAATAAAATAAGGGCGAAATGTTGGCTACATTTTCAAAGTATTCAAACTATAACAATAACCAATGGTTTGAGAAAATATCAAAATAACTTAAATCTCTAAAAGGTATGCACTAATTAAAAAACTTAAATCTAAAAATGAAACATGAACGACAAAAAAAACAATAAATTTTGAAATGTGAGATTCATCCTTAATTTTAAAACGTATGTTGTATTTACATTTTTGTGGATTGAGAACATCCACAAAAAAATGAATGAAATCAATCATTTCAAAATCAATATGTTTCCAATAACTAAAATTAATTGAAAAACGAAACCCTTCACTTTCTGGATTTCTTTGACTTGTGCCTGTCACCGCTACCGCTATCGTCGCGGCTCCTCTTCTTGCCAGAAGAAGACGAAGAATGGTGACGATCTTTGTCTTTAGAAGAACTATGGCGACTTTTCGACGGCGAACTGCTGGAGGACGACTTATGTCTTGAACTAGATGAAGAGTGTTTGTCTTTACCTCTGTCACGATCTGTAAGTGGGAATAAGATAATCTTAAGAAATAACCAACAGCAATAAAAAATCAAGTTATACCCTTATCTCTGCTGCTGCTGTGTCTGCTCGAGGAACCGTGTTTACTGCTGGAACCGCTCCTGTTGGAGCTGGAATGTTTACTTGACGATTTCTCTTTGGATCGATCTTTGGAAGGAAAAGGTTTTCCGCCTCCACCTCCAGGTCGACCTTTGCGATCTTCAAATCCATCATAAACTCTTTCACGGTCTTCTTCGGCCGCTTCCCTTTCCAAATCAGACCAGTCTTTACCAGATTCTTCATCTGAACCTACAAGTTTTTTAATGTTAATTTACAGTTGACACTAGGAGTGGTTAACATACCCAATTCGTCATCAAGAGATGCATCACTTTCATCAGTATCACCTTCAGAGTATTCGGAATCTTCTTCACTTTCCTCGGATACAGATTCTAAGTCAGATGGGTGGTAGACTTCATCCTCATCTTCGGATTCTTCTTCCTGCTATTAATAGAAATTGACTTTTAAAATAATATCAAACAGTTATTGTGGGAACTATCAGGAGAAAAGAAGATATGTCTATAAATGCCATTGAATTATAACTACATACTTCGAAAGGCTTCAACATAATACATGGCACATGACAGAGCCACACAACTTCAAGTGCAACTAGATCAATCTTTCGTAAGCTCTCGTAAGTTAAGAAAAACTTAAATTGTATCAATGTCAATATGATATTGTTTTTGTCAGGCACAATCTAAGGTTTTTGTTAACTAACAAAGACCAAACCAATGATTGCCGTACTAAAATGGTGTTGATGTGTTTCCCAAGTCACAGAAATAAATAAATACCCCCCTAAATCAAATTTGCAGTTATGAAACATGGAACCATATTGAAAATAGACAAATCAGTCTAAAATTACACTAAAGCTTGAAATGGCATTATCACTTACTGCAGCTTCTACATCAGATTCAGGGTCCAAGAAAGTCCAGCCGCCACTTTCAAAGAAACCATCGGGATCATCAGTAATAGTTTTCATAATTTTCACCCAGTTAAGTGATTGAACTCCCTCAGAATACCTTAACAGAAAAAAATTTAAATAAAACAACTGTACAAACAGCTCCTGATGCAACACCTACCTAATATCACACGAATTCAACCATTCCTTGACATGATCCAGCATGTTCATTGGTATAGCAGTCACCATGGCCGTTTTCCTATTGTAATCCTTAAATACAAACACCATATCAAAGTTTTTCAAGTGAAACTGGATACGTTCAAAGTGCACCAGTTCAACATCTTCCAAAGTGATAACAAATGGCGGCCATTCTGTTAAATGGACTAAACATCCAGAAGTTGGTTGCAATAATACTGTGGAACGGAATGGCACACCTGGAAATCCTAATTCTCTGAATGGAGTATCGAATTCTATTTCTGTTTTGGTCATGGATTCGACTTTTTCGCAGAAGCTCTTGAAAGCAGTTTTTAACTTGTGCCTCAGTTCTCTTTCTGCTTGTTCAGCAGCCAGATCGTCTCTGTCATGCATATGCTGGTGTTTGCCTAAATCAGTTGTGATTTCACCAACTTCAGTGTAGAATTGTACATCGACGTGCTTCTTTTTACCAAACATGATTGCGTGTTTTAAGTGAAAATGTAACAAAATTATCATTTCTCCGTCGCAAGGCTGGAAGAACGCATTCTTTATGTTATTATACAAAATATCAACCTTGTCTCCTCTGACTGAAGTGTAACGGAAACCGTTTGTGTGCGCTTCCAAGCTTCCAGTCATTCTTTTGGTAACAATATTTGGTCTAATGAACAGATCTTTCAGTTTGGGATTTCCCTTGTTTTGTGACAAAACTAAAGTGTCTTGTTTAACCAAGTCCTCTTTTTCTTTTTCTTCTGCTTCGCGGGTTTTGAATTTTCTTTGGACTTCTTTGATTAAACGGAAAGCCGTGTTTAGGTTTGACGACGGTGGTGAAATTTCACCTGGCTCTTTAGTGTTGGTACTGCGATATGTTACTTCTTTGACAAAGGTCGCCTCAGGATTTTGGAAATTACCTGAAAAATGATGACGTACAACATCAATTTTTATTTGGAGTTGTAACTTGAAGAAAACATAATCTTGAATATTTTTGACAGAGTATAACTACTAGAGACTAAATTTAAAACCAGCTATGTTGTCACAAAACTGGATAATGCTACACCAATGTTATCTGAAAGGCAAATATGGCATAATCTACTGGGCAGCACACTCTAGGGCTCAGGACATTTTTATTGTTCAAAAATAGGTGACTCAAACTATTTATGAAATGCTTGCTTCACAATTCTATCGAGGTATATTTAGATCTAAAGATTTTTTTAACAATTTTTGGCTTGTACATACATATTCGAAACTATTATGTTTGTATTTGGAAATAAGGATGTCTTTTAATGACCTTGGTGGTCATAATTATGATACCCACACGAACCTTATCAGTTTTCCTGTGCATAGACTGATATTGTCAGAGAAACATCCTTACTAAACTATATGGGTATAATTATTTTCATGTCATGTAATGTATTGATCTTTTGTTAAAGATACTGTATTTTAATGGCAATATTTTATTTCATATTTTGTATGTTTTTTAAATGTATAATAATGTTTTCTGAAATAAATAAATAAATAAATGAAATTATGTCTATCAACTTGCGAGACAACTTCGGAAAATCGATTTTCCATTATGCCAAGAGTTTGCCGCTTTTTTGCAGCTAATTAAATGTGGAATTAAAAAATTTGCCGCTCTTTTGGTTTTTCCTTAATTACGTGTTTTGCTAAGTTGATGTCAAGATAGCGAGACAACTTCACTAAATATGTCAGCAGTAAAAAATTAGGTAGGTGAAAATTTGCCGTTTTTTTTGCCGCTAATTAGTTGTGAAAACCAAAAATTTGCCAGTTCCTTTTTTTTCACATCACTTGACATCAAGTTAGCAAAACAGTATCAATAAAAATGTCGGTAGAAAATTTCATTCATCTGTCAAAACTGGTATTCGAACCATAAACTGGCATGTTTTAATTGTTGATTTCAACCAATCAGTTTGCGATTACGTGATAATTTGCACTAGTGCAGGATTATCGGATTGGATAATTGCTCACTAACGGGTGGCATTTGACATTTTTTCTGATTGGTGACATTTTATACTTACGAGGATATACTTTATATTTAAATTTTTGATTCATTAAATTCTCTCATAAAATACAACTCGAGCAATGGAAATATATCTATAATTTTTGACAAATTTGCTCTCATGCATTTTTAACTGAGAAAGGCACTCCTCAGTCCTCACTCGTGCATTACGTGCTCTTTTTCAACTAAAAATGCATTCGGGAAAATTTGCCAAAAATTATCGATAATTTCCATTGCACTCGTTATATTATAATTGAGAAAAATTGAGTGAGTGGAAATTTGCCGTTTTTTTGCCGCTAATTGGTTGTGAAAACCAAAAATTTGCCACTCAAGTTTGAAAAGAAAATAATGTGTTTTGCTAACTTGACGTCAATATCACTGAAAAATATTGGTAGTTATAAGTTGAGTGAGTAGAAATTTGCCGTTTTTTGCCGCTGATAGTTGAGAAAACCAAAAAGTTGTTGCTCTTTTTCTCCAAGAAAAAATCGCGTTTGAATAAGTAATCATGCGTTTCGCTAACGACGTCAATAGAGAAAACATCACTAGAAATATAGTTATTTTCATACATAAAAATTACCACTGTAAAGAACTAAGAATTATGTGACACCCCTGTTCTATATCTGTTTGATATTTCCGCATTATTTGTCGCGGCGACGGCGACGCCGCCTCCAACCTAGACAATGAAAGCCTTGTCCAAACTGAAAAGAAGTCCAGATGGTAAAGGTACCATAAGAGATATTGGATATGGATCCAGTTTTTCTTCATTTCTGGTCACCTCATCAAATTCGAATTTACAATGATCTGATCAAGAGTGAAGATAGTCGACTTTGCATTGATGCAAGGCATTGCCAAATATTTTATACATGTTGACAATGAATTGTCACAACAATATATTCCTGTATCTCGCAGTTCTATATAGCCAGGGTAAACAAATCGCTGTATCTGGATCATTTTCCGAGCGGCAAGATAGAGTAATCATCAGTACATGGTCGAGACGTTCGATCCAATCAGGAGCAAAGTTTACGAAAAAAGTGTAAGATAATATAATTTTAATTTATTCTATTTTGTTATTTTATTACATTACATTCTCACACATAGTAAGTTTGGGTTAGTTTTATATTAACATGTGGAATTAACTGAAATTACCATATTACATGTTTATTATCAAAAGCTTTATTCAATTCCAGTTGTTGGACTTTTACTGGGTATAACCACATTGACTTACATCAGAATTGACAATGCTCATTATATTAAAAACTATGCAGTTTCTTTGAAAAGCGAAAAGATAAGATTTGATTTGATTTGATAAATGTCAAGAAATTCCACATGTTTGGAATTGGCCAACTTATCATATGCCGAAGTAAAGTAGAAGCTGAGCGAATAATTAAATCTCTCCTCTTAATTCCAACCAGTGAGACAGCAGGCAATGGTTTCTTGGAGAAGCGTTGGCGTTCCTGAAAAGTTTGATTTATAGCGATGCTTCTGAGAGCAGAGAAATTAACGAAACCATCGAAGAAACTCTGCGAGAAGAATATAATTTGGATCCGGAAGATGCAGAAAATTACTTTGAAGGAGACAAAGAAGTGTTAGCTACTTGGATTGCAAATATGAAAAAAAAAGTTAAAGAAGTAATAGCCACGGAGAAAGGCGACGACTTAAATTCACAATTCAGTCCAATATTTGCAGCTCGACTCTTGAAGCAGTTAAGAACTATTCCTCTCTGGTCGTGTATTATTCGAGATTCTCTTGGATTTGGGCGAATTCCAGCTAGCAGTGGCTGTCGAAAGTGAATTTAAAAATATTGAAATTTTACCAAATGTGACTCGGATCGATTTAGCAGCCGAAAGACTGATCAATGATTACAAAGGAAAATTGAAAATAATCGAATGTTCGAATAGATCGAAACATCTCAAAGAAAACAGAGCAGTGGAAAGGAAAAGGAAACATTCTGGAAAGTACGCTGAGCAGGAACATGATAAGGAGAATCTGTCCTATCAATCACTTGGAAAATCATTTTTGTCTGTCGAAATTTCAAATCGATTAGTTGAAAGAAGCCCTTTCAAAGATTTGGAGCCACAAACCAATTTTGAACAGTCTACAACCTGTATGGCATGCCTAAATGGCGACTTCGGTACTCCATCTCATAAATGCATCTTATGCAATGCAGCAGTTCACTTGCTGCCTGGTTGTTCCGTTGCCATTGAATTGAAGACGAAGAAGAAGGTTTTGGCGAACGATGCACACATTGTCACGAAAGCTCCTCAAGAAATGAAGGCATTGCTCTGAATGAAATGGAAAACTAAAGAAATATGGTTCATTCTAAGAAAAAGAAAGGGGCTTCTTATATAGCTAGAACAAATCAAAATTTATTTGATATTGTCGCTTCAGAAAAATGTCGCACTCTTCCTATCATTAGGAACAGGAACGATCCTTCTCTAGGTTTGATAAATCTTCAAAAAGCAAAGCTCTCACTCAAAAACACTTGTGCTTTGGACAGCGTCTTCCAAATTATATTGGCTGGCTTCACAGACCAAAAAATTGTTGAAGAATATATCAATGAACATAAAAAACACAATCTTTTATTTGAAATGGTCACAGATGTAGCGAAAACTTAAATTCAAACCAAAACTTACGAGAAACGAGCTCAAATTTACATTGATCATCATAAAGTTACTGTTAAACCGAATTCAATTCAAAACATCGAAAGCTCCAGCAACATCGTTTTTCTGACGAATTCCGTATTCAAGAACTCACCAAGTTTTCAAGAAATCGGTCGTTGTTCAGGTGGATGTAAGCCAAGGGTTAAAAGCCTAGGGACCATAACAATCGTCGACAAGTAAATGGGAAAACCTGTTAGAGAAGTGATTAAAGAACACGTTGTTCTTCCTGATGTTCAATGCCATCATAAAAATTGCAAAGGAATGGAAGAAAATAAATTTCATCTGATAGGTAAGTAATACTTTTCATGCAAAATTTTATACTTTCGCCACTAATCAAGAAATGAAAATGAGTTTCCTCCGATTTCCTCTTCTTACTGGATGAAAACAAAATACTGTTCCTCATAAATTTAACAAGATATAGCATAGCATAGCATAGCATTTATTTGTTCCATAATTGTAAATATAAAGAAAATTATCACAAAAGCCCTTTCGGACATAGAACGTGTCAATTTAAAAATACCCTAATCTAACATTACAAGCCAAATATAAATTGAATTGACTGTTTTGAGTTTAAAATCATAAATAAGTTAAGTCACGAGCACATTTAAAAAAAAAAAAAAAAAAAAAACAACATTTATACAATACTACACATTAAAATATAAAATATAAGAATATAAAAATACAATATAAAATAAAATACAACATGAAAATACACTATAAAATACAATACTGAGCATCAGAATACATATATTGGTTTGAACCTCATTTCAATTTTCGTTGTTCAAATTGTCCTCATACAATTCCTCCACCGAGTAGTAAGCCCTCTGAAGTAAGTGGTTTTTCAACTTATGTTTAAGGTTATCGAATTGCAAGCTTTGCCAATTTGAAGGTAGCTTGTTGAAAATTTTTATAATTGAAAATTGAACGTTTTTTTGTATGTAAGTAAAATTGCTTCTCACATTGACAAGATCAGTCCTTCCCCTTGTATCATAGCAATGCCCCCTAATGTGCTCAAGAAAAAGGTCAGGATTTTGCTTAACAAACAATGCTGCTTCCAGGATATATTGACTTGGTAATGTTAATATGTTGTGAGCCCTAAATATGGGTTTACAGCTATCTGTCTGGTACATAGCAAATATTGCTCTTATACATCTTTTTTGTGCAATAAAAACTCGAGAGACTTCGGGACTATTACCCCAGAATACAACTCCATACCTCAATCTTGATTGAATGTAAGCATGGTAAGCAGTTAATGCAACCTCATAATTTACCTCACGTGCCAGCACCCTCAGGGCATAGCAGTGCCTTGATATTTGGCCAGCCAGGTAGTCAATATGGTCACTCCAGTCCAACCGTGAATCCACTTTGACCCCCAGGAAATTGGCCGATCTTGTAGTGTTCAAAGGTATACCATCACCGCAAACAAACTGAGTGGGAGACCAATCCCGTTGATATGAGAAACGTATTAGCTGTGTCTTCTCGACATTCAAAACCAGGTTATTTGAGTCAAACCAACCCTGAAAGGAACTCAAAGTTGTGTGAATTTTGTTACTCAATTCCTCCATTCGTTCTGCCGAAAAGACTACTGAAGTGTCATCCGCAAACTGGACCGTAAACTGATCAGTTATATTTGCAAGCTCGTTAGTATAGATAATGTACAGCAGTGGTCCAAGGATTGATCCCTGAGGTACACCTTTTTTGACCTGGCTAGAAATTGATGTTAATGTTTCCCCATTGTGTCTTTCAATAATCTGCTGCTTTCTATCAAATAGATAAGATGATATTAGTTGTAAAGGAACGCCCCTCAATCCATACCTTTCTAGTTTTGCTAGCAGCACATCATGATTAACACTGTCAAAAGCTTTAGACAAATCCAAATACATCGCCACTGTCTCGTTTCTCCCATTAAGGGACTCCAAGATTTTAGTTAGTGCCTGATAAATAGCTCTGGTGGTACTTTTTTTCCTCCTAAATCCATTCTGATATGTTGAGAGCAACTGCTCACTCTCAAAAAACGAAATAACGCGATCATATATTATCCTCTCAAATATCTTGCTAAAGTTATTCAAGAGTGCAATTGGTCGAAAATTTTTTATTTCCTGAGCGTCTCCTTTCTTATAAATTGGAATAATTTGGGCTATTTTCAGTTTATCTGGAAATACTCCTGTGACAAGCATTAAATTAATTACATGAGACAGTGGTTCAGCAATTTCATCTGCCACTTTTTTGATTAAAATGACTGGGATTTGATCTTGCCCTACTGCTTTTTTATTTTTTAATTTGGATATGACATGCTTGATCTCATTAGCATTTGTAGGTTTTAAAAATAAATTTTTTGGGTAAAAAGGTATATTTTTTGAGATGCCATCTATATTTGTATTGAGGTCAGGACATAGGTTTATATAGAAATCATTTATTTCATTTAGTATAACATTCTTTTCTTTGTTTGGGTATTTCTTGGAATAGTTTTCAAGCAACGATTCTTTTCTTTTTTCCCCGTTTCCCTGTACCCAGTTAATCAATGTCCATATTGCTCTTCCTGGGTTTTTTCGAAGTTTGTATAAAGTTTATATTTTCTCTTTTTTTAGATTCTCTTATAACTGATCTTAAGATATTTGAATATTTTTTAAAAAAATGTTTTGTGATACTACCCCTTATCATTTCTTTGTACAAATTTCGTTTGTTTTTTAAAGAAATTTTAATCCCACAAGTCATCCAGTACTTAGGTTTTTTTGGTTTGGCTTTAATGGTTTTCTCAGGAAATATCAGGTTGAGGTATTGAGCCAAAATACTGCTAAAAACATGGTATGCAGTATTTACCTGTTGTTGAGAATACACTTCAAACCAATCCACCCTCTGCAATTCAAGCTTAAAGTGAGACAATCTACCATCTGAAAAAGAGCGCTTTTTGACGGGCATGAAGTTGCACTCTGGGGCGACCGCATTCACGACCCTCAGAGTTTGAGCCTCGTGATCAGATAGAGCAGTTGCTACAACCTCTGCTTGAAATGGGTTTATAAAATTGATGAAAATATTATCTAAAAGTGATTTGGATGTATTTGTTATTCTTGTTGGCTCAAATACAGTTTGATTAAAATTAAAACTTGTTAAGAGGTCTTTAAATTTCTTTGACCTGAAGGACTGATCCAGCAAATCAATATTGAAGTCACCTGTGAGTATAGTTTTGTGACTTGAAAATTTCAACTGACAAATAGCAAGAATATCTGTAAGAATTTGAAAGAAGAGATCAATATCACCCTGCGGGGGCCTATAGATAGCAATAACCACTACTTCAGCGGACCCACTTACGATCGATGAGCATTCCAGGACTCCTTCTACACTTCTTGCCGTAATTTCGGTTTCTTCTGTTGCTTCATTATTGGAATGTACAAAAATCGCAGAACCTCCATGTGTCGTTGCTTTCCTTGCAAAAGCGGATGTTTGCTTATACCCATTTATGTTCATACACTGGACTTCCATCTCCGTAAACCAATGTTCGGTTACCACAACAAAGGTGGGTTGTTGATTCATTTCCTCTAATACTGCTTCAAGTTCAATGATTTTATTTTTTAGGCATTGCATATTTTGGTGAAAAATTACATGCTCTACCTTCTTGTTTTGGCTATCTAACCTCTCAGATTGTTTTTCGGTATCTGATGGCGTTGTAGACTCAGAAAATGGTTGATGCAGATACCAACTGGCCAAAGTTCCGGATCCATTATTTTGTTTTTATTGCATTGGGGCACACCCAGTTTAAAAGAACTCATTTGTCCGTCCTTTTTTGTGTGCATTTTTTCGCAATATAGATCGTTTCCCAGTTGTTGACTATTAAGGAAATCCTTGATATTATTTACTTCCATTGAAGTTGAAAACCCAGACAAAAATATCCAATACCTTTTTTCAGCTACCTGTAGACCATTTTGTTTTTCATTTGTTCCTCTTACTGGATCAGGACGATTATGTTGCAGCATTATATTTTTATGTTTTGTTTTGTAGCTAACAAGCTTCCAGTTTTCTTCTGATTGCCCAGTTGAAGTTGGGGTAGTTTCAGCAGAATTTGATTTTTGTAGTTCGCCATTATGTTTTTGCTTATCATTCTCGATGGGTTTGATGGCTAAATCAACTGCTTTGTTTACTTGAGCAAGAGTTATTTGATTCCGCTTTTCATTTTTTTTGTTTTGGTTCCCAATCCCAGTGTTTACATTATTACGACGATTGCCATTTTGACGTTTATTGTTTGTGGTTATGTTGGCTTTTCTTCGGTATTCATAGGATGGGTAAATTTTGGTGTTTGAATGGGATATGTATATCGGAAGCTAGCAGAGTTATTAAAAATCTGAGAGCACGTTCTCAAGCTCTTTTTTCGAGAAAATAACAACGACTTGAACAAGTCAAGGCTATCTTGCTGCATTTAGGAAATACAAGGCGATTCTCAATTTTCCCCAATTTTGAAAGACCCTGTTATTTCTTTATAATGCAAAACGAAAAACAATAGAATTTCGAAAAACAGCTTTTCAGATTTTGGCGACATGACCAGATTTTTTTCAAATATCGTTTATTTCCTAAACGCATCAAGATAACTGTGATTTGTTGCCGCCATTGTTATTTTCTCGGAAAAAGAGCTCGAGAATGTTCTCCAAGATTTTTGATAACTCGGCTAGTTTTCTATCAACCCAATTAAATCACCGAAATTTGCCCACCCTATACATGTCCAAAACAGGGGATGATTATCAGATTCTGGGAATTGTTGAACTAACTACAATGACTAGGCGATCAACTTAGATTGGTCATTATACTGCAATAGTCAGAAGAAACGCAAACTGGATTGTTCACGATGATCAAAGACCTAAGGCGATAATGATGAGAAAAGTTGGAACCTTGCTTCCGGAATTATTGGTTTACACAAAGAAAAGTTGAACCAACTTTTAATTTATTCTTATTTCTTATCTTAACAATTCAATTTTATTTTATTTTCTGTATAAATGAGCACACGATTTTTCGCTTTTTGATTTTTGAAACCTCCAAGGCCTCCAATAGAGTTTTCCTAAGCTAAAGAAAAAAAAAAAACTGAAAAACTATTCTCAAAAAATTTAGAAATAAATATTTGTTCCAACAAATGTTGTGTTTCACCGAGTGTTTCACTAATTAAAATATACAGGGTGCATAAAAATTGAGGGTGGGAGATCATTTATAACACCCTTTTACTCACCTGATTTTATACTGCCCTTCGTTTTTTGTGATGATGTCGGTCTAACTTAACGGCAAGCTTGCGAAACACATAAAGTTTTTTTCAAACACGATTTTTTTATGAAGAAAAAATATATGTTTTATGGTTATTAATATACTTTAATCCATAATTTTTTTAAGCAAATTTGACTCGCCATTTTTGAGTTATATCGCAAAAACTGAAAAAAAGTGGTTTTTCACCATTTATTTCAAAACTAATAGATGAAGTTTCCTGTTATTTTCATTACGAACTACTATTGCAATTCTACGCGACATATATTTTTTTCAAATTTTTTCAACTTGCAGTTTTCTCGCTACTGCAAGAGTAGTTGGAAATACGCCTGTAGCTACACTGTTTTAAAAAAAATCCGACGGATGAACGTTCAAAAGTATTTGTGTTGGTCCAAACTACAACCCTGTTTATGTAAAACAGAATAATACTTCGAATTTCCGCAAAAAAAAGAAAAAACTTTCCATCACACAATTTAATCAAATGCAGATTTCTATTTTTTTTTTACTATCAAGTTAGGGCACACTATAGGGGCGACAGTACTGACATCTCGCGTTGCTGTAATAAACTATAGGCCTGACTTTCAACCTTAATTTGTGGCAAAAAGCGGTAAATTTCCACAGTTTTTCTCTACCACTCAATTTTTCTCTACCGACATTTTTAATGATACTGTTTTGCTCACTTGATGTCAAGTTAGCGAAACACATGATATTTTTTTCAAACACGATATTTTCTTGTAGAAAAAGACCTAATTAGCGGCAAATTTCCACTCACTCAATTTATCACGACTGACATTTTCAATGATATTGTCTCACTATCTTGACCTCAAGTTAGCAAAACACATAATTATGAAAAAACCAAAAGAGCGGCAAATTTTTTAATTCCACATTTAATTAGCGGCAAAAAAGCGGCAAATTCTTGGCATAATGAAAAATCCATTTTTCGAAGTTGTCTCGCTGAGTTGATAGACATAATGAAATTATATTGGATCCCCTTAGATTTCAAGATGCCAGCACCAAATTGTACAATTTTCCGAACTTTGTATTTCTTAGGGCGGGTATTATAAAACTATTTTGACTAATTCCAAAAGTTAACTTTTAGTTATTTGTCAAAATAGTTTTATAATACCTGTCCGTTAGTTAGATAATCATTATTAGGTATATTTGATTGATCACCTATTTACTAATAAATAATTATTCACTTACCATCCTTCCCCATAGTAGATCCAGGATGGAAAAAGTTGATACGCAGATAAGTATAATCGCCTTCAACCGACTGAGAAATATTCTTGATTGTTGAAATATGGAAAGGCACAGCTATTCCATAAACTGGCAATATAACTGTTTCATATTTTTGGTCTACAAATATTTTCATTTCTTTCACTTCTGGAACCCTGGGCATCTGGTTGACATTTTTATAAGACACAGTGCTTTTTCTTACTTTTTCAACGCCCTTTCCTCCGCTTTGTTTAGCCAGACGTTCTTTTGCTTTTTCGTTTAGTTGAAGTGCCAATTCTCTTTGATGTTCTTTTCTTTTTTCTTCTGAAGTATGTTCTGTTCTTAATTTAGATTCTAAAACAGCAGTGCGTCTGGCTCTGCCTGCTAATACTTCAGGTTTAGGTGTATTTTCTTTTTCCTCATCATTCTCTTCTTCTTCCGAATCATCTTTAAGGAAAATACCAATATTTTTCATTTTCTTCTTGCTGTTGGTCAAAATACTTGCTGGTTGGCCATCATTTATCAAAACGGTGTCCCCTATGAAGAGGGCATATACTTTTGCTTCTTTTTCAGTGGCATCTTTGTTAGTTAAATTAGTAAGGCCCAAGTTTAAGTTAAACGCCATGCCTTTTTTTAGGACAGCATGTGTTTTAGGGCCGATCATCAAAGAGCTTTCTTTAAATTCAATGCCAATTGCAAATCCAAAATTTTTCGTTAAATTATCCACTAAATTTGGTTTTTCTTTTTTGGCATAAGCTAAGCCAGTTTCGTAGACTGCAGATAGTTTTGTGCCAGGTTGCATTTTTTTCAATAATTCCTCTTCGAGTTGTAATAAAAAGTTGTAGTTACCTTGCATTTCCTCTGTAGGATTTACTAGTAAGGTTCTTGCAATATTTGAACAATAAAGCTTATATCTTGCTCCAAAAAAGCATATAATTGAACCAAAATGTAAATTGTTTTTATCACTTACAGCACTGTATTTAAGACTGTAGTTGCCTCCTGACTGAATAATTGCTGGATAGCACATATCTATTTGACTTACATCTACTCCCGACACATATTTTTTGTCTTGTATGGCTGATTCGACTCCTTCAGCAAGTTTACTGTGTTTCACTTTTTTTTCGGCATCAATGATCTCCATTATTTGGTCTTTCAGGTATTTTGTAAAAACATCTACAGAGACTACAGATGCTTTTCTGAGGCTTGTAACTTCTGAATCTTCTTTGGGGGCCATTAAATATGCTATAGGAGCATTAGCGTCGAACATTTCAAAGTTTTCTTCTTTGAGAGCAGCTTTGAAACCATCCAACAAAGGACTTTGATAATTATCTTTAGGAAAATAGCCAACGACTTTGCCGTTTTTGCTTGCTTTTATAGCTTTAATGAGCGTCTTAAAGTTTTCATTGTCTTTATCCTTCTCTCTAACAATCAAATTGAGTTTTATGTGATTCTCATCCTTGCTCTCGCCTTGTTTGAGGAATTCTATCTTTTTTTTGCTGCCTAAGCAATGGACTTTATCCTCAGTAAGTACTATTATTGTTTCAGTGAGTTCGTAGCCCAAAAGCCATGTATGCAAGGCACTAGATTTGCTGTAAACAATATCATCGTCCTTACCCACAGCGGCTACCAAAGCGTCCATTTTCGAGAAGCCATTTTCACCATCCGAATCCTTCCAGGCTGCGTATAGTCTTTTTAGGCGCCTATGCAAAGTCTCCTTGTCCAGATTTATACTTGCCATTTTGCATTAAATTACTTAAAATATCAGTTTTTGATGATTTTCAACAGGATCAACGTGCGGCGTACTTTAATGAAAAGAAGGCGCCATTTCGGTTGACATTTTTTTGCAATTTGTTGTCATCTGTCTGTTGTCGTTTTTTGGGCCTTTTAACCGATGCTGCCAACAAAAGAAAAAAAATAACAGCAACTGAATGGAATGGATGCATTCAGTGGGCGTAATTTGGCGTTTTCTTAAGCCGCTTTCGGGTACAGAGTGCGAAGCTCCTAAAACACTTCACACCTGTCATACCCCATGCGTTTTGAATTCGAACGCTTGATACCGAACGGGGTCAAACTGTAGCTGGAGTACTTCAGAGTAACTCGGGAGTGCTCAAAGGCTGGCACCCGAAAGCAGCTCTACACACGTACGTTCTGTATTTTGACCTGAGTTCTCCGAGCTTGAATTCACCGTTCGCTTATTTAAAAAGTGTACTCGGTGCAGGCTCATTCGCGTTCGTTTATTAAAATTTCGGGCACTCGGATACAGCCAAGGACAAAACTACAGAAAAATCCAGAAAAAAACATAAGGCTGTGTCGCCAGATGGATGAAAAATGAAAATTGTAGCCGATTGCTGAATTTATTGGCTCAGTGCACTCAGTTCGAATTTTGCGAGTTTGGTGGCTATATACCGTGTTTGCTTTCTGGATCTGCGATTTGCGGCGGTGCAAGTCATGAATTTGAGAGAACGAATGTCAGTCAAAGCATAAATTTGCACGCGAGTGGTTCAAATTTGAATTAGCAGAACCGGCGTGAAACCAGCTCTAATCTACGCAAGGATGATACACACTACTACTAAAGGATAGCCTATTCTCATAAGGCATTTTTTTTTTTTGTTTTTTTTACGGATATGCGCACTCGCAAGGACAATGTCCTATCACGCTCGAGAAGCGGCAAGTGCGCGGAAATGTCGGTGTATGTTGGTCTTGAAACGGTTCAGGTTGTAACCTGCAGGGAAAACCGTCGCAGGGAGTTTATTCCACAGCGATGCTGTTCTCCAGAGATATGAATTCTGATATAGTGAGGTTCTTGGTGCCTCTAGTTTGACAGTAAATTCATGGTTACCGTCTGTTTGACGCGTTCGCCTGGTAGGTGCTACTCTCGGTGGAATCATACGTGCCAACTCTTCAGAGCATTTTCCGTGATAGTACCTGTAGAAGAGAGATAAATCGCCCACAGATCTGCGATGTTCGAGACCATCCAAGTTACGAGTAAGTGCGGGGTCATTGATCAGCTTGATAGCTCGTTTTTGCACGGTATTCAAAAGCATTAAGGTATGTTTGGGTGCAGCACTCCATATATGTGAGCAGTACTCCATAGTTGGTCGAATCTGGGCTTTGTAGAGTGTCAGCAATTGGCTTGGTGTGTACAGATGTCTTGTACGAAATAGCACCCCCAGCTTTTGGGAGGCCCTTTTAGCAATATCTGCCACGTGACTGTGCCAAGACATGTTGGTCTCTGCAGTAACCCCCAAGATGTTCAACTGACTCTGTAATGTGACAGCACTTCCAGATAGCATGATGTTTGGCTCACCGGTGCTGGTCTTTTTTGAAAACAGAGCTGCTTGGGTTTTCTGCGCATTGAACTGTACAAGGTTTTTGTTACCCCAGTCCTCTATTATCTCCAGGTCGTTATTTATCTGCGATATTTGAGTTAGTCTAAGATGATGGAATTCACGTGCGGAAAGCCCTGTGGGTGGTATGAGTGAGGAGACTACATTACCATCGTCTGCAAAGCAATAAAGTGGATTTACTGTTTTATCTATGAGGTCATTTATGTAAATCAGGAAAAGAGTTGGCGAAAGGATTGCTCCCTGTGGCACACCAGCATTTATTTGGTAAGAGTTGGAGTTCTGGCCATCCAGTGCAACATAAATGGATCTGTCCTTTAGGTAACTTTCAAACCAAGTGCAAAGTTTCGGCGATAATCCCATTGCTTTGAGCTTGTTGAGAAGATTTTCATGCCAAACTTTGTCGAATGCTTTAGATATATCTAAGGCAATTGTTCTTGTTTCACCCCGCAACTCAATCGCTTTTTGCCATAAGTGAGTGACGTATGTAAGTAAATCGCCAGTTGATCTATATTTTCGAAATCCGTATTGCTTATCGTTGATAATTTTGTACTTTTCCAAGTACTTGGTTAGGTGATTGTTCACAACTCTTTCCATTACTTTTGATATCACCGGAAGTAGAGCAATTGGTCTATAGTTTAACGGATCTGTCTTTTTTCCTTTCTTTGGAATGGGTTGTACTGCGGCAGACTTCCATGATGATGGATATACTCCTTGCCTGTAAGACAAATTGAATAATTTTGCGAAAGTTGGGGTGAGTTCGTTGGCGCAATTTTTGAGTACTATTGCGGGAATGCCATCCGGACCCATTGCTTTGTTTGTATCCAGCTTTTTTAGGGATTTTCGTATTTCTCTGTGACAAAAGGGTACCTCTGGCATACTATGGGAAACCCTTTCAATGAACGGTGGAGTTTTTCCGTTTGGCACTGTTAGGTTGGAGTTGGAGGAAAACATTTGGGCAAGCATATTGGCTTTTTCCTCTGATGTTGTGGCTAAGTGATTATTTTTATCTGTAAGTGGTGGTATGGATGACTTGGTGAAGTTAGATCCAACAGCTTTTGCAAGAGACCAAAAAGACCTAGAACTACTTGGACAATTCAGCAACCTGTTTTTTATTCTTTGATTGTATGTTTCTTTAGCGGAGTCAATAGTAATTTTGCAACTATTTCTGGCTTCTATAAATTCTGTGTGGTTTTGAGCGGTTTGTTGTCGTTTCCAAAGGTTATATGCTCTGTGTTTTTTCTGTACAGCCGTTTGACACTGGCTGTTGAACCAAGGTTTAGCATTAGCTCTACGTTTAGTTGTATGTGGGATATATGCGTCCATTCCAGATAAGATTACTTGTGTTATTTCATTACAGCAAATAGTGGGATCAGCTGTTTTAAAGCAAACCTCTTGCCATGGAAAATCCAGGTAATACTGTTTTAGGTCATTCCATTTTGCCGATTTATAGTGCCACATTTTACGAGGAAGTGGTTGTAGGCTTGGTGGGATGAGCATTTCGCACTTTGTTATTATAAGTTTATGATCGGACGAACCAAGTGGAGCATCTACTTGAATTGTGTACGAGTCAGGATTTGTGGTTAGGAACAAGTCTAAAAGCGCTGCAAATTCGCCCCTTTCTGAGATACGGGTAGGTTCATCGACAAGCTGCGTTAGACCACAACTTATGGCAAAAGCTTCTGCTTCTCTGCCTTCGTTATCTGTTTTGTTGAGGCATTGATGATTGAAGGCCTATGTGGAACAAATTCCCAAGCCAAATGATCAGTTGTGACGTAGGCAGCATGTCCTTTCTCGGATGGACATAAGCTGTTTGCAATACAGGCTATGATTCCGCGGGCTTTTGCTTTATCCATACTTGAGGCGATTTTCAGCCTGGAATGATTATTTATCGGTAAATACCGTGGTTATTCTTTTCGTTGACAACTTTGACAACCGAGTGTGACGCCATAGCCCCACCATTCAAGAATCATAACCCAAGGAACTAACCGCTGAAATGATTTGGTTATAGCCTTAGACAAGTTATAGCAGTGTAGGTAGGGTTATGTTTATTATTCTTATTTGTTTTTTCGTTTCAACAATAATTTTTTGTTCAGGTACACAAAAAATGGAGCTGAATCTCTCGTTAGTCTCGTTTATCGAACAGATTTACTTTGGGCATGATCTAAACATGGTGAATTGCAGTGAGTGAGTGAATGTATACTTCTTTCATTGTGCCACCAATACAAATTCCAAAAATAATAACAATAGCATCAAAAAGCTGTAACCAAAAGATTAACCCAAGTCCAAAGCTGTGGGTAATAATCGATTATAAGTGGTAAATACCAAAAGCAAATCAGCTGATATGTGACGTCACGACTTCCCCTACTTTGGTTAAAACCGCGACGGCGGAAATGCATTGGTTATAACCAAATAATAATCATTCCAGGCTGAAAATCGCCTTTGGTATTACTCAAGATTCGTAAACTCTACAGGACTGCGAATCGGGTAAATTTGTTCACAAGTGCTGTGACGTCACCTGCATTCCTGACTTTCGAGATGGCCTCCGATACGAGTGATAGTTTAACAATTATTTTATCGTAAATTCGAAGTTTATCGTGTTATAAGTGTAATTTAAAGTTTCATTTAACGTGTGTAAGCATTAAAGACTCATGGCTGAAAATATTCGCTTAGTTTATTTACTGTTAGTATATTTTATTTCTATGTAGTCATGTTTTTGTATTGTTTTTTTTTGTAAATCAAATAACTACCTACTAGTCGTAGTTTCCTTTGCATGTATAATTACTAAAAATTAGTGTTTGTGAAGAAAAAATAAATAAATAAATAAATATGTGAATAAATTCCTTTACTAGCGCGTTTACTATGTAAACGCATGGAAATATGGGAAACTTGCAGTGTTTTTCTGGATTATGAATATACCTATATCACTATTTGGCAGTTAAAAATAAAACACACTATTGCAACCACGTTTCGCTTATATTTTGATATTGAAATGCAAAAATTAAATCATTATTACACAAAAGCATATTGTCCGTCGTTTTTAATCTGACACTTTCCGTATGAGGAGCGTATATGGCAAAAACAGGTATGACGTCAGGGGACCATTGGCGTTCTGATGTAGGGTGCCACCAGCTCAAATTCCTTTCGAGTATAGCCTTGTACTCATAACTGCGAAATTCGCACTTTTTTGACATTGCTTCAACAATTTGAGGTTTTATGCGTGAATCAAAGGTCAAATTGTCGAAGCAATGTCAAAAAAGAGCGAATTTCGCAGTTATCGCTAGTATCAATTAAAATCGACAGACTTTACATAAAAGCTTGTGTTTTTGGACAAACAGCGAGAAACATATTAATTATGAAGTACTAGCTGTACTACTTGTACTAGCTGTTGCACTAAGAAAACGTAAAAGAAATGTATTCACAATGCACAGCATGTTTTAATATAGGTAGTATTTATGTGCGGGTATTTTGAAATTACATTGCTGATAAGCAGCAAGCAAAGAAACTCGCCTTTGTGCAAGCTCAAAATCACGGTTGATGACAATAATTATATAGCCAACCACTCAAGCACACAAACTTTTAAAGTGTCTGCTGAATTTAAAAAACACTGTTTTCAACGGAAATAACAATTTTTCACCTTTGAAAATGCAAGGAAAATGCACTGTCATTATATTAAAACAATCCGATCAAGGACTGCGATGATGGCACGTGACGTCATTCGCATTCCTCCATGTTCGATATTTTTTGTGAACATATATATATACGGCATTGAGCAATTCTATAGAGTTTACGATTCTTGGGTTTTACTACATTAATTGATATTCAACAACTCTTTTTTTTAGATCTCGTTTTCATCTTCTTCTGTGCCTATAATGTTAATCAAAATTAAATATTTTTCATCATAAATTCAAATTCTAAACTACGACCTCTAGAGTGCAAACAGCTGACGACTTGTTAATACGTCGGAACTGGTGACACACCAATATGGCGGCAATTACCAAAAGCGAGGCCGATAAGCAATCCTTAGTAGTCTGTTTTATCCTTGTAATCTACCTATTTTTACTATTTTTCTTATTTGACTCGGAGCTGGAGCTACTCAGTAGTTCCGAAAACGAAAACACCTAACATCTGCTTTGGACATTTAAATATTTCCAAAAAATTTGTTGTGGTGTGATTAAAGGTTCCGGGTTCTAGAAAGGTTCAAGTGGGTTCAAGTTCATAGGTTGTAGTGGTAGTGGACTAGGGTTCCTTTTCTTATCACTAGCGTTATCCCAAGAATACCACAGGTATGTACTAGCAATTTATATAGTATACCTTTATCTTTTTTCTAGTGTTTTTACTTTTCATTTGGTTTATTTTCGATTGCTTAGAATTTGTATTTAATAATTTCCAATCACTTGCAAATTGCAGCCAGCCACGTTTTTTTTTTTTTTATATTGTGGTAACCATAATTTTCAGAAAAGGGACGACCTTTTCTTGTATCTATACAGAGTGTCCCAGGTAAAATTAGTCTTTCCAGAGTCAGTTGAGACAAGATGAAGGTAAATCCCAACTGGTGACTGAATATTTTCATAAGAAATGCACTGCCACTAGTCAGCAACCAGTTGCAATTTATTATTACCATGTTTCAATCATTTAAATAAGAAAAAATCTCCGAGATATCATACAAGTACTACAAAAACTCTTCAAATGTTAGCTCCATACATAAAAATACTTCATATAAACACACATATAATAAATAAAATATTTGAACAAGGATACTATCCAAGTAGGCTGAAAATTGGAATTATCAAACTTCTCTATAAATCTGTGAGAAAGTTACAGATAGAAAACTATAGACCAATAACCCTAATTTCTATGCTTTCAAAAATTGTTGAAAAAACATCAAAAAAAGGCTTTTTTCTTATCTTACTTAATACAAAATAATATCAGACAAGCAGTTTAGGTTTCAGATTCAGTGGGGGTTATCCACAGAAGATGCCATAGCATATTTAATGGATAATGTTTACAGAAAACTTGATAATGATGAATGTGTTAAGATATTTTTTTTTAGACCTTGCAAAGGCATTCAACACTGTAGATCACCACATGCTGATAACTGTTTTAAAAAATCGTGGATTTTGTGGAATTACAGAGAAACTGATAAGATCTGAAAGAAAACAATATGTCCAGATCGGTAAAACATTAAGTGAACCAACAACTGTGAAGTATGGTGTTCCTCAAGGAAGCGTACTAGTCCCAATCTTATTTACAATTTATATAATGGCTTGTTAATCATAAATACATTTGGGCTGATTGCATTGTTTGATGACACAGTTATTATGGGAAGAAAAAGCAAGATGGCTGACAGAGAAGATGTTGTTATTGTGAGTCCGACGAAAGTCGCGGAAAATACCAGTGAAAAACTTGTAAGTAAGTGCTACCACTGCAAAAAAGAAACAAAGAACATCATCCAATGTGGAAAATGTGAAAAGGAGTTCCATTCGGCGTGTCTTATCCAAGCGGCGACCCAAAAATCAGCCAAGTGCCGCCACTCACCATCCTATGCCGAAAAAGAAGCTTGGAAGCATGAGAGAGAGCTCTTTCAAATGGTAATCAAATTGTTGGAAGAAAAGAACGAGTTGCTACAAAAAAACAACCGTCTAATGGGTGAGAAAATTGGAAAACTCCAAGAAAATTTAGAAAAACAGAAAAGTGAGGTTAAAACTCCTTCAAAAATTCCGCCAAAGAAATCGCTGTCATCATCATCAAGTAAGCAGGCCGGAAAATCGGACCAATCTGACAACAACGTAAAAAAGTCCGGCGGAGCCGATGGTGCGGAACGATTCTGTTCCCCAACCAAAAACCATGCTGCGCCACTGTCTCCAAAGTGGCAGCTGACAGACGACAAGAACCAAAACAACAAAAACATTGCACAAAATGAAAATTCCCTTTCTATAAAAATTGTTGAAAAATCCATAAATGATGAGCCACAAACTCCAGGCATAATGCAAAATGGTTGGACACAGGTTGCATATGGAAGAAGAAATACATCCCGCAAAAATCCGGTACATGGAGGATGCAAACAGTTTTCCTTGCAGGTTGCGCCAAAGAAGGCCTACATTTTTCTCACTGGACTCTCGTCTACGGTGACTGAAGAAGAGGTCCAAGAATACATAAAAAATAGCGCTGCAGCTGATTCCAAGTGCTACAAAATGAAGACGAAGAGCAGCAGCTACAAAAGCTCCTTTAAAATTGAAGTGGCAGAAGAAGACACAAGTAAAATAATGGTGCCAGAAATATGGGGTGAAGGCATCATGGTGAACCATTTTACCCATGCCAGACGAAGCCCAAGGACACGGGCAAATTAGCCAACAATAGAGCCATACCAGACTCTACAAGTAGTGAGGAGAAACTCTCTGTGCTACACCTTAATACCCAATCCATCCGAGACATCACAGATGAACTGGAAGCATTTATCGTGGATAAAGCCATTGGTATAATGTGTGTAACTGAGCATTTTTTGAAGGATGATGAAATAAACTCTCTGAGGATTGGCAACTTGGAAGTGGCAGCATCATTCTGCCGGAAAATGTATACAAGAGGAGGAACAGCAGTCTTACTTGAAAAGGGCAGTAGTTATAAAGAGTTGACAGATCTAAGGGAGCTGAGTGTGGAAAAATGTATTGAAGTTTGTGGAGTAAGATCATATAAATACAACATAGTAATACTATCAGTATATAGATCTCCTGGGGGAGATTTTGACATCTTTTTAAACAATCTTGATAAAGTTTTAAATAAATTGGATACACATAATAAGATAGTTCTTGCAGGTGATTTTAATGTGAAATTCTGTACAAATGAAAAAACATGTAGAGAGTTAAATGACATGCTGCAGTCGTATGGATTAGCCCAGACGGTTTTTGAACCTACCCGCGGTAACAACTGCCTGGATAATATTTTTATAAATTTTTCAGAAACTGAATACCTTGCTTGCATTGTAAAGCCAGGCAAATCAGATCACGATGGGCAACTTGTCTCATTAAATTGTCCTCAACAAAGTAATCAAAAATACTCAAAAAAGATTTGTCAGCCCATAACACAGGTAGGAAAAAACACATTCTATCAAAAAATTTCTGAAATTGATTTTAGATTTATAGACTTTCCTACTTCTGTAGAGGTAAAGTTTCAGAACCTTGTGCAGTTAATTGAGTTGGCATATAATGAGTCGTTCCCAAAAAAAACATATAAAGTAAAGGAAAATCAAACAAATAACATTGATTGGTTTAATAATGACCTAAAAAATATGAGAGAACACCTTCAGTACCTAAATGACATCTTTAAACTCCATCCAACAAATCAGCTTAAGGAATATATAAAAAATCTCCAACAAAGCTACAAAAAAGCTATAAAAAAGGCCAAAATTCAGTGCAATGAAACTAAAATAAAAAACTCTTCCAACCCAATTAGATGCATGTGGGAAATAATTAATGAATATCGTGGTAAAACAAAGCCTTCAAAAAATGACCAAACAACATTGACTGCACAAGATTTTAACAATTTTTTTGTAAGCATAGCTGTAGATCTACAGAACAAAATAGAAGAAGAAGATTTAGACCCCATTTTGAATTTACTTAAAATTAATGCAAATAATCAATCCTTTTCCTTTAAGGAACTCTCATTTAACGAAGTACGTGATGTGATTGACCAGCTTAAAAACAAGACAAGCAAGGATATTTTCAACCTTAATATAACCCTAATAAAATCAGTCAAAAATCTCCTAATAACACCTCTTACAAAATTAATAAATCATTGCATTAAAGAGAAAACCTTTCCAAATTGTCTAAAAACAGCGAAAGTAATTCCAATATTTAAAAAAGGAGATCCAAATGATCCAGGCAACTACAGACCGATCTCACTCCTGCCAGTTTTATCGAAGATTCTTGAAAAATGCATAGCTATACAAATATCGAGTTACCTAGAGCAAAATGACCTACTTAGTAATAGTCAGTTTGGCTTTAGGAGGGGCAAGAATACAACTTTAGCAATTTTAAAATTGGTAGAAGGTATAATGGAAGGTTTTGAGAGCTCTCAACACACAGTTACCACCTTCTGTGACCTGAGCAAGGCCTTTGACTGTGTCTCGCACGATATCCTGCTTAAAAAACTGCCTTTTTACAAATTTTCAAACGACAGTGTGGATCTAATAAAATCCTATCTGACTAAACGAACTCAGATTGTTAACTATAATGACATTAATTCGAGCGAACGAGAAATAAACATAGGCGTACCACAGGGCTCAATTGTGGGTCCTATTCTATTCCTAATCTATATTAATGATCTACCCAAAATAGCGGAGTTCGAAAAGTATGTAAAATTTGCGGACGATACCACAGGTCAAGTTCAGCATCCAGATCTACCAACAGCTGTCTGTATGTCGGGGGAGGCACAGTTGAGGGCTAGGCAATGGTTTGCTGCTAACAAACTCTTTTTGAATGAATCTAAAACCCAAAACTATACTTTTTCTCTAAAAAATATAGAACCCATGACCAACAGTGTAAAATTCTTAGGAGTGCATCTTGACCAAAAACTTCTTTGGGATGCACACACTGAAATAATTTCAAATAAGCTTTGCAAAAACACTTTTTTATTAAGAAATTTGGCAAGATGTGTCTCATCTAGAGTTACAAAACAAACATACTTTTCTTTGCTACACTCACATGTAGGTTATGCTTTGCTAATATGGGGTCATGCAAATGGAGCACAGAGGGTTTTCTCTGTGCAGAGAAGGGCTGTTAGAATAGTGGCTGGTTTGGGCTATCGAGATGACTGCAAGCAGGCTTTTATTGACAACAGAATTTTGACATTGCCCTGTGAGTATATCCTGCAAAATCTGGTTTATGTTAGGGACCATTATGATTCATTTATGTGTAATGGTGATTTTCACAGCCATGACACGAGAAACAAAAATAACTTAAGACCCATCTACCATCGTTTACAGAGATGTCAGGGTGGACCTGGATATCATGCTGTAAAACTTTTTAACAAACTACCAGAGCATGTAATACAACTAAATAATTCCGAATTTAAGAAAAAAATTAAAGATTTTCTCATAATTAAGGCGTTTTACAGCCTAGATGAATTTTATAATTCCACACTCAGCTGGACAGGCACAAACATTATTTAAAACAAACAAATAAATTATTTTTCATATTTATTATTATATCAATTATTGTTCTTTACAGTTGCACCAACCAAAAATTGTCTCTAGTCATTGCTATATGCTTTTTTTTTTTTTTAATTTTAT